AATTTAGAATAACAGGCGGTGGAAACAGTAATGATTCAAAGCTGTTGGAGAAGAGAGGGAAAACAGGAGTTTTTGTAATAGGGCATGGAAGGCGACTAAATTTTTGGAAGCTTAACAAAATGCAGGGTGTTTTTTGAAGAGAAGAAGATGCAATGTTGGAAGACGAGAGAAGCTCAAGTTTTTTTAAAAGTGGATGAGAGGCATTCTGAGCAACCTTAACAAAGAAGCGGTCGCTGAGGTATTGCCTACGTAAATAGAGGGGAGGATCAACGCACTCTACTTGCAACGCGTTTATAGGCGAAGATTTCATTGCTCCCAAAATTATACGTAAGCATTTGGACTGTGTTTTGGATAATTTATCAAGGGCTGCTTTGTTACATGGGTCCAGAAGAAAAGACGCGTAATCAAAATGGCTGCGCACAATGGCGTTATAAAGCAGCTTTTGGGAGTAAGGGTGAGCCCCCCACCAAGTGCCAGAAAGGGCGCGCATTACATTAATACCATTTTCCGCCTTTTTAAGGATGGAGTTAAAATGAGAGACGCCTGACAACCTAGAGTCTAGTGTCAGACCCAAAAATTTAACCTGGTTAGAGCAGGGAATAAGATCACCGTCTATAAATACATCTATGTTCGGGATGTGTCGTTTTCGAGTAAAAGTAACGCAACAGCATTTCGGAACAGAGATGGAGAGGCCGTGAGAGAGCATCCAGTCACCGAGATAGCTTAGAGCGGAATTAAGGCGAGTGGTGGCCTCGTCTATCGATTTAGATGAGATGTAAAGAGCAATATCATCGGCGTACTGAAGGATGTTGCAGAAGGAATCGACAGCTTGGTCAAGGTCGTAGGTATATATGCTGTAAAGGAGTGGACTGAGAACGGATCCTTGAGGTAGGCCTTTCCAGAGAAGCCGGGGAGGGGATGTGATGTTTTGACATTTAATTGAGACAGTTCTTGCCATTAACGAGTTACTGATGAAACGAACCAACTTCTCCGAGCCACTCAGATGTAGCAGTTTTTGCCTGAGTACTGGAAGTAAGACGTTATCGTAAGCGGAAGATATGTCCAAAAAAACACCCACTAAATACTCCTTATTCTTGAAAGCCAGTCTGATGTCAGTGGTTAGAATGCTAAGACTGTCCAGAGTGCTCAGACCTTTACGAAAACCGAATTGGGATTTTGCTAGGATACCGTGAGATTCCATGAACCATTCCAGGCGGTTTCTAATCATATGCTCCATAACTTTTAGTAAGGCAGAGGATAAGGCTATAGGGCGATATGAGCTATGTTCTAAAGGATCCTTCCCTGGCTTCGGTATAGGAATTACAATTTGTTCCTTCCAAGAGTCAGGGACGGTTCCTTGGTCAAAAAAGTTGTTGATTAATTGAAGAAAGAAGGATTTCGCTCTAGGAGGAGAATTAACTAAAAATGAATATGGCAATCCATCGGCTCCGGGAGATGAATCAGTTAGCCCAGTTAGGACACAAAGGAGTTCGTTAGCAGAGAAGGGGGAATCTAAATTACCAGTTGGGGGAATTGGTATAAAGGAACTGGACGGGAGGCAGTCCATAGAGGGGACAAAAGGAGGGGCTAATTTATCAGCAAATTCATCCAACCAGATTGAGGGGTCGTTTGAGGGAGTATTGGATGCTGCAAGGGATTGGCGGTACCTTCTTATCTGCTTCCATACCACAGAAGAGGGTGTCCTGGGAGACATGGTCTCGCAAAAACGGATCCATCCTAATTTTTTCTTTTGTGATAACAACTTTCTTGTCTGGGCTGCTGTCTGCTGATAGAGCAGAAAGTTATCCATTGTCATAGACCTATTATAACGTTTTTCCACCTCCTTGCGTTTCCTAACAATAGCTGAACATTCCGCATCCCACCATGGGGGGGAGGTCTTATGTGTAAGTTTCTTTTGGGGGAAATGTTCATCTGCAGACGTCCGGAGGATGTTTGTAAAGTGTTCATACACTGGGATCGAATTTAAAGGGGAAATTGTAGGGAGAGAGTCTAATTTATTATTTACTGATATGGAAAAGGCTGACCAATCGGCGTTATTTAATTTATATCTTAGTAGAGGAGGGGGTTGGACGGTTGGGGATGATTTATTAGGAATAGTTATCAAAATGGGGTAATGGTCACTGCCAAAAGTACTTTTTAGAACATTCCATGAAAGAAGTGACGTAAGGTTAGGAGAGCAAAAAGACACATCCACGGCGGTAGCTGGGTTTTGAGAAGGGTGGCATCTTCTAGTAGGGCTGCCGTTGTTTAGGATGCATAGATTTAGATCGTCTAAGAGGTCTAAGAGTAAAGATCCTGGAGAATCAGTGTGGTAGGAGCCCCATGCAGTATTATGGGCATTAAGATCGCCTAGGATAAGGACAGGAGGAGGAAGAGCCAAAATGGCTGAACGCAGTTCATTAAGGGAGGATGAGTTAGGACGGGGAATATATACGGATAGGATGGAAAGGCCGAAAATTCGCACAGCCACGACATTAATGTCCTGGCTATGCGAGGGGAGAGGGAGTTGGGAATAGGAGAGGGAGCGCTTTACAAGAAAGGCGCTTCCTGCGTATCCATCGTTTCTATCGTCCCGGAGACACGAAAAGCCAGATACACGGAAGTGTGATTCCGGCACTAACCAGGTCTCCGAGACGGCTAGGAACGACGGAGAATATTTGTTAATTAAGTAGGAAAGTTCATGTTTTTTTCTTCTAATGCTCTGACAGTTCCACTGAACCGCCTGAATTGCCATTGTAATTAGATATTTGAGAGATTTGGGAAAGTTTTTGAGCAACGTTGGACGGTATACTGTCTTTGTGTTGGGTGACAACACGGAGGATGAGGGTTAGGACAAGATCTAGAAGGTTCATGTCATCTGACGAGGACGATGGAGGATTGTCGGTAAGGGCGCAACCATTTGGAAGACTAGAAGCACAATTGCCAATAATGGCCTGGTGTGCCTGCCTGTCGTAGCCTTTTCCTAACGGCGCGTGTGAGCGGGGGGTGCGAGGTATGGATTTCTTGTAGGAGAGAGGTAGGTGGGATGTTTGTGAATGGAGTGGTTGGGATGGAGAGGGTAGAGGTTGTGAGGATGGGGACCTTGTGATGTCAGCATAAGACCTACGAGTTGCTGGGTACATGGCCGAAGCCTCAGCGTAGGAGATGTTGTCTTGTGACATAGCTATTTTTATTGCTTTCTGTCTGGAGTGCTCTGGACAGGATTTGTTAAGAGCGAAGTGGGGTCCTGTGCAGTGAATGCATGTGGCCTTTTCTTCAGTAACATCACAGTTATCCGCTGAGTGGGGTTGCGTGCAACGAAAACATCTTGCCTTCGACCTGCACTGAGCTTTGACATGGCCAAAGCGGCAGCAGTTTAGGCACTGAATAGTAGGAAGCTGATAAGTCTCAACAGGGATTGAGTTATGGAAGAGAAAAACTCGTTTTGGCAAGACCTGTCCTTTAAACGTCACAACCACCGATTGAGTGGGGACCCAGGACGCCTGTCCGTCTGTGGTCACTTTCCTGTTTAGACGACGAGCTTTTAGCAGGATGCCACAACCATCAGGGATTGTCAATGACTCCGCGAGTTCTTCCATTGGAAGATCTGAGGGGATTTGTTTAATGAGACCCATACGGGTCACGTTGTACGTCGGGATTGTTGCTGAGTATTTGCAAAGGGATAGAATCTCACTACTCAAAAATTTGTTGGCAGAACTGGCAGAGGTGAACTCAACAGAGATTCTGTTTCTCCCTATTTTCTTGATACCATCATTAATCACGTCCTTAATTTTGTTATTGACCAAGAATTTTCCGAACCTAATTGGCTGGATGAAAGTTGGAGCATTAGGCTCGGATTCAATGCGCGATACGTGGACAATAAAAGGGCCTTTGTCAAGGTCACTGTAGACTTTTGGTGCGATAACAAGAGATGGGTGCGTGTACACCGGTTGGCTGCTTGGAGATGACATTGCAGCAGAAGGGTTATTGGATCTCTTTGCGGGTTCAGAAGGAACCTCCGAATCCAGGCGGCGTTTTGTAGCGGCTTGGGAAAACAGCGGTTGAGAGATGTCCATTGTACAGGAGGCCGGGTCCGGAGGATCCGGGGGATCGGGAGGAGTTAATTCCATTCTACTTACGGTTTTACCAGATAAATCCGTCACCTGTTATTATTAATTAAAATAACTAAGCTTAAAATTGATTTTTTTTTAAATAAACTACGTTAGAATTTGATTTTTCCACTTAGACACCTGAAACACGTGTTGCCACTGACACATGCGGCGAGCGACCTTTTATATTTTCAATTATTTATGCAAACAATCAAGACGCCATCGCGCCATGCGCCATGTTCAAGTTAAGAAAGAGAAAGCGATCTTGTTTTGACGTTAGAGCGATAAGGATGCGTGCGCTGCGGACATAGATTAGTTAGTGCAGAATCGTTAAAACTATAGCTATCTCTTTCATTTGCGTGCTATTTCGTATCTTTTGTTTCACTTATCAGTTACATTTGTCAATGTGTGCAATTTCGAATAGCTCGGTAATTTCTATGAACGTAACATATCTATAGTTCTGTAATATCATTGTAAGGTTCAAAATGTCAAACCTATCAAGCTCTCCCTCCCCAGAATAAATGCCCCTCTTAATCGTCGTAAACCGTGAGAAGGCAGCGGGGAATGAGGCGCAAGGGGGGCCGCCCGCTCTAGTCCACCCGACGTTTCTCCAAATCAATATAAAAATGAGTCGCTCGATCCATTTCCACGGAAGCTGAACGGAAAGGAGATATGGAAATAACGAAATTTGATTGGTTATCCAAAACACAACACCTCTGGTCTCCGCTTATCTCCGCCTTGGTGTAACCGGGCCTAAGGTTTGGGAGGGGCACGGCTGAGTGTTTTATGACGTCAGCTAAACTTCAGATGTGTTTCAGACTTGTAAACTCTCTCACGTCATGTCATCCCTCTCGTGTTGCTCTCATACTTCAGGCACAGACTCAGTTATGCGCTAGATATGTAATAATGACAGCTAGACCTTACTTGGTTTATCTAATCACCACCCTCTCATTTCAGGACGCCCTAAACGACTCTCTAACGTCAAACTCCCATCTAAAAGACGAGAACACGCTGCTCAAAGCTCAAGTATCGGCCGCGCCTCTCAACCACCAAGCGCCGAGCCAAGACGACGCCAAGCTCAAGGAGTATGAGGCCAAGATGCAGAACTTGGCCGACGAAGTGGCCAGGTTAAATGGGGAACTGAACGCGTCGAGAGAAGCGCAGAAGACGTCCGCTGAAGAGCTGGAAAAGTTGAAGAAGGACCAGGAGGATCTGTTGGTGCTGTTAGTTGATCAGGTATGTGACCAGAAATTGTTGTCTTTAGTTATACTCTCAAAGGGGCCAGGGTGATTGTGACGTCACTATCATTATTAATTCGAAATAATAACTTTTTAAAAAAATAAAACCGACTTCAAATGCGTGAACACAAAAAAAAAACTAAAAATTAAAAATATTGCGTATAAAAAAGTTCATCCCCAATTTTCCACCCTTGGGGGTGAAATATTTTCTTCAAATTCGCATGAAACCACCCTTTTGATAATACCTATTCAACAAAAAATAATCGTTCAAATTGATTTATAATCGGTGGAGATATTGCGTATAAAAAAGTTCATCCCCAATTTTCCACCCTTGAGGGTTGTTTTTTCTATTATTAAATTTAAATGGGACCACCCTTGAGGTATTACCTATACGCCGAAAAAAGATTTGTTCAAATCGGTTCATAATTGGCGGAGTTATCGCGTAACAAACATAGAAAAAAAAAACATACGGGTCGAATTGAGAACCTCCTCCTTTTTTTTGAAGTCGGTTGAAAAAAAACAAGTATTTCACACTGGATGTGTTCTGCTGTCAGTGGTCAGGTTAGACGTGGACATTGTCGGTCTCTATTACATTTTGTATTGATGCGATCTGACCGTGGAACGTAGACTGCATTCACTTTGACTTGCCACAGACCGCGTCTAATGTGACAGACAGTGTTTAATGTCTACTTTCAATTATTTTTAGATTTTATGTGTTGTCCACATCCTTAATTAAATGTCCATCATTTAGACATAACATAGGCTTGCATTACTTTCACACAAATGTGTTTAAACCTTACATTATGGATAATAAAGGTCCCGGGTTCGATTTCCGGCCGGGCAGAAATTGAAATGATGAATTTTAATTAATGTGACGGGTCTGGGTGTTTTCTATGTATAATATGTATGTATTTACAAAAAAAAAGTATTTAAGATTGTTTATATCCGTTGTCTGGTACCCATAGTACAAGCTTTGCTTAGTTTGGGGTTAGCGGCGCAGTGTAAAATGTCCAAGGATATTTATTTATTTATAATTATCACCTTCTGTTATTCCAGGACGCGAAACTGAACGAGTACAAGATGCGATTGATGTCACTCGGCCAGCCAGTCGACGAGCCAACTGAAGAGAACCTCACGTAATCAACCCCGTACTGACTAGGTTCTATGTATAGCAGGTAAATGAGACGAAGTTAAACCGTAGGGAATAAGATAGGGCGTACCCAGCTTCTGGCCTATTGGAGGGCAAGTCATACCCAGCTTTTGGCCTAGAGGGGCAAATCCGATTTTTTTAGGTCATATCCGACTTTTTATCTTAGTTCTTTCTGTAGTAGGTCATACATTTTCTGCAAGATTTCCAGGAGAACGAGACATTACGACAAATACACAAGATGGGAAGAGACAGAATATATTGTCAACTCGACAGTCGTATCGACCTTTTGTATCGCTGCTAGTTGGCCGTACTTTAGATAACATTGTTGGTCTGAAGAACTACATCCTTAGCTACGAGGTACCAATCCAAATTTAGTAAAGATTGTTTTGAAATGTTGATCAGACCAAGTACAGTAGCTGGGACCTTCTGTGTTCAAGGCAAATTAACAAGTCACCGCGTAATCTCGCCGTCTTATTAATATTGATTTTAAATAGTGTAACCAACACATTTTATTATTCCATAAAATAAAATTGTAATTACTGCAAAAAAGATCCACGTTTTGAAGATGAAATCAATTTATTTTTATATTTCTTTTAATTGATTTGTTATTTTAGTTAATTATGTACAGGTTTCTTCGTCTTAAAGATTCGATTATACACCATTTTGTAAGGCAACTTGTGCTTATTATCTTAAATATCCAAGTTAAAAAGTATTTCTGAAGTAAGTATATTGAGTGAACTTAATTTATAATATTTGAAATTCGAAATAAATAAATAATTATTATGAATGTTACATGATACGTAAAAACATATTAAAACGATTGGATTTTATAAATAAGAATGTTTTCTATACACATTACCAGGTGCAATCGATTTAGTTTCTCTAGCTTTATGAGGATAGTGGTACAGTTTCAAATCATACTGTTGCCAAACGCCATACGTCGTTCATCGAGCTAGGTTAGGCGAAAGCGATAATATTATGGAAAAATATGAGTGCTTTTGTTGGTCGTTATGGCGGCAGTTTATGCAAAGTAGGTAATGCGACAGTTATCTAAATGATGGATAAAATGTGGATAGTTAAAATATCATGGTCATAGACATAGTAAATCTGATGATCAAGACTTTGGTAGGGCTCTACAAACCTTGTGTAGCTAGCAATCTAGGCTAGAACTTAGTTATGCTCTCAGCTGTGAATATGCCGTATTGTAAATTGTTGAGATAGACGTAATGTACGAATCATTGTGCCTTTCTTACATGATTTTGTATTGGAAATGGCACAGTCGTATACTGTTAATTTTATCTACTGATTGATATTGTATTTAAATGTATTATAAAGATGTAGAATTAATATATTATGTAATTTTCTTGCAAATTTTGTTTCATTTCTGATCTATGTGGAGTGTCGTGTCGTAATGGCCATTTTAAGTTTCAAGAAAATGAATAAAATGAATAAAACTCGTACATAAGCCACACCTTTTATTTGCCTTACATCAATATTGCACAGATGAGTAAATATTTGATCTACCTATCTACACTTAGTTACCTACATAACAGTCTCACAATAATCATAAAAAGCGTTAATGTACATTACGTTACGTACAGATCGTATAAAATACACGTTTTTACATTAGAAGAGTGCAGAAAACCGTTACTAATGAGGTTATACTTACAAGTTTATTACATATTTATTGATAGAATGAGTTATGTTAATAAATTAGCTATAATTTTTCATTTCATTATCAAGAATTTTTTAAGTGGTTTAAAATGAGCCTATCTACAATGCTGGAAGTATAAACATAATTTGATTGTCTTTTATAGTAGTTTTATATCATAGGTATGTTTTATATGAATATAAATAACTTAAACCTAATTTCTTATGAATATAGTGTAATTTTTAACATAATCTTATTAAATATAGTCAGGTACTAACATAACCAATAAGTGATTTTTATTAATGTAACAGTGTGTGAACATACAAACATAAATAAACTTAAATTATCACAACACATAGGAATTCTGAATAACGCGTAAAATATTTTTTTCTCATGATATGGTTTCTTAAAATTATTAAATGCCTTCTTTTTCTTACAATGAATAAACGAGCTTGGTCCTAAATTAAGAATACTGTCTTTTTTAGCCAATGTATGGAATATGAGACAATAATAATACAATGTGTCCAATAAGTATGTTTCTTGGAGATAGATCAATGTGAGATTTTTTTATGCATAACAGGGATGCTGCAGTGTAGAAAATTCCCATACAGTTGATGAAAGCAACAAACTATTTAGTGTTTTATGTGGTTTAATATTACAATGCCAACTTATGTGCATTTTCCATGAATATTATCCTCAATTAATAACTGGGACCAACTGATAGTGTAATTTGTAATGTATGCTGCTTGTTAATAATTATATGCAGCAGCTTACCAATGAACAAATAAGAATACACATGCCTCTTCACGGACACCTAACCAATAGATTATGCATATGGGTACCTCACTTTTCTTCCATTTAGTAATTAAGTAAGTGGGAGAGAGAATGACTGATAGTGTAATGTATGCTGCTTATTATTAATAATACGTGAATAATACAGCAGCTTACCAATAAACAAATAAGAATATACATTATACATGCCTCTTCACGGACTCCTAAACAATTACACATATTATGAGTACGCACTCACTTTTCTGGTCAAGCTGGCTAAGTGACGGTGAAGTATATGGCCAGGCAGCCGAGCCCGCCGAGCACGACGAACACGACGCTGAGCACGAAGCGGTCCTGCAGCGCGCGCATGACCATCGAGTTGAGGAGGCGCGACGAACGGTTCAGCTGCTCGTCTGTTTCACGGAGCTGGAAGAAAATTTCATGTTGGGTATAGGGATTTCTCATAACAGCTGCTAATATCTAGTGATTGATTCACGGAGCTGGAAGAAAAATTCATCACGTTAGAAGGATTTTTTATAACAGCTGCCAATATCTGGTGATTGAATACTGAACTAATATTATATGCCTGAGCTTGCAGGTATAACATTTTATGTGAGTACTTGGACATAATATCCATTTGTATTGGTATAATATTTTTCTGAATGTTTTATCTTTTTCCAACTAGACTGACTGATTTTATTCTTCTGTAGTCAGTGTGTGTATATGTTATATTTTTATTACTTATTTTACAGATTGTCCTATTCTATGTATCTTATTAAACAGATTGTCTTACCCTCCCACGAGATCGTTGTATCGTTTCTCTCTGTACACTCAAGTCTTGCAGTACAGCAGCGCCAATTTGTTCCGTCTCCAGCACCAGCCTGTATCCCTCAGTGATGGTCTTTCCCGTGCGCTCCACTCGCTCAGTGTTGTCCAGTAGCATGCGTTGTTGATCGGCTAAGCCGCTCCAGTCTTCATAGTCTTCTATCTCATTGTCTATGTTGTCTGTAAAAGTTTAAATTTCAATTTAATTCAATACCTTTAAGAAACAAGTAAAGCATGATAGAGATAAAGATATTTTTTATTTATCAGAACATGTGTGACAATATTGCAATACAGAAATATATTTTTGGTGTTAGTAGTGCGTACACTAGTCTAATAAATTATTTAACACTTGTCCTAATTTGTTAGATGATTATTTAGAGCAAAAGATCCATATAGAAATGTGTTCAACTCATCGCCAATTTCGACTTTAAAACTTCCTTAATCCGTAAACTTGTCAACGAATTTGCATTGACAACATTCTTGGCCTTGGGACTTGGCCAACGGAAGTGTCAAATTTTAATTCATGTTTGTTGAAGGCCGATTTGCTCCACTTAACTTTGACAAACATCAAAAATCTGTCAAACTCTATACAAAATACACTTATTATTGTTATAGTTTTATTTTATATGTATAAAAAGCTCATTGAAGAATTAATTAAATTATCACCAGACAACCTTCAAATTCCACTGTCCACCGTGTCTCTCTAAACACTCGACATTGGCAAAACCAGTGTGCTTCAAATTCGCACCATTGAAGCCATTAGAATAATAATTATTATTATTATAGTTACGGTCAAAGTTAGGTTGGTGCAGCTCAGCCTAAAAAATGTATAAAAATATCATACACTTGGCAGCGTGGCTGGCGACTACTGCTCGGTACTCGTCCTGCACTCGCAGCAGCTCCACGCGGTAGGCGCCCACGCGCGAGCCCGCCCCTGCACTGCGAGACTCCAGCTCCAACTGTTCTAACTACATCCACAAAATAAACAACAACATTTCTGTTAAAAAGGTTTCTAGTGATCCAATCAAGGATTATTATTGTAGTTAAACGAAACGAAGCACTAAAAATTATATAATTAGGTCATTTAAAGAAATAAGACCTTACCAAATCGTTGGCTTCTTCAAAATTCGATAGTATTTCTCTGGAAAGTTGATCTCGATTTTCTGCAATATAACATTTATTCAATATTTATTTTACTTAATATTCATTGGTATCACATTTCATAATATCGTTCTGAAACTTGTTGGAATATTTTAGAGTCGAGAAGAGAATCAAAATAATGTTTTACACTTGCCTTCATTGCACGATATCAGGCGACTGATTTTTGCAGTTATGTCAGCAGTAAGCACTGAATATTGTTGCTCGTAAGACTGTATTAGCGTGGCCATTGTAATAGCTTTCACGTTTACACACTATTTACACTGTAATCGATGGCATTTTCCCAAAAAACGATAAAAAGCAAACACTCTTGTTCTTCTACACGTCAGTCGGAAAAACCAGGAAAAACGAATGATGACATTGCGTTTTATTTGCTGTGTTATTATCAAACTGTCAAGTTTAGTTTAATGTTGACCGACGCAGCAAACTACGAAACAAAACGCAATGTACTACCAAGATTTTCAAAAACATTTTTTTCAATCTTTATTCCTTTATTCGTTTCTCGTTTGTTTTGTTCTTTTATTAAATTCTTTTGTTTTTTTTATTTAATTAGTTAAAGTAGTTTTCGATCGACGGTTAGAGCAAAAAATTCAATGCAACATTTGTGCTGCACCTGTGTGTGCATGCGACAAAGAACATTAATTATTATTGTTATTACAACAGACAAGTGCAGTGCATGCCGGCGATGCCGCTTCTTATTACCCAAGGAACTTATACCCAACCTTGTTATTACCGCTCAACGAAAGAAAGAAGTGGAAGTGGAGAGGTAGATCTTAGACAGGTGGCTAGTTGTGTGCACGCACAGAGCACGTAATAGTTTGTGTGTTTGAGTGAGCGAGCGAGCACGAACGAGCATTAAAAAAATTTGTTCGGTTCAGTAGCTTACTAAATATGACAAGTTTCGTAGTTTGTGTTTATTCTTCAAGATTTTGAAATGATGAGACCTGTGAATAGACCTTGGAATTTAAATTTTTGAATAGTTTATTAAATACTGTACAAATCAGTGTCTCCTAAGTCCGCGACATGAGTTAAAATAAAGGTATGTACCTACAATAATAGCTTTGTGCCGCATTCTAATGTTTTCGTTCTATCTTACAGAAAGCTTACAGATTATTAGTCATTCGAATCTCTACCGGTTGAAATGTAAATGTGTGTACAACGTCTATAGACTGTAGTTTACTTCGAACTATCTATTTAATGGTAGATATTAGTCATTCATTGGTTGTTGTGACTGTTACATTGTAAAAGATGCACTTTCTCTCGTGTGCGTGGTCTTAAGAATGCGCGTATTTTTATGTAAATTCCGTTCAATACCTATTGATGACTTGGTGATTTATTCATGCATGACAATCATAGCATTCGTTAAAAGTTTTAAATAATTTGATGCAGGAAATAATTGAAATGTTGAGCTGATTTATGTTTAAACCACTGAACTGTCTATTCACTATTAAAAAATAGGCAGGTTCACTAATATAATGTAGGTACCTAATTAGTTAAACACCTATGTTTAATTTTGATACATTCCTGATAAAATCATCAGAGCTACAATATAATCTTGTCTCAAAAATCATTATAAAAATCAAATGTGTCGTTGACTCTAGGAATGTCACTCAGTATACATAATTAAAAAAATAACCAATTATTTGTATTGTTACAGAGCCATGATCCGTAGCTGTGAGGAAGATTCAGGCCGCAGCTCCTGCTCAGCAGGATCTGTTGGCCTCAGCCCGATAATAGACTATCATGAACTCCAACCTGACTTGCCACATCAGGTCAAAAGACGACATGCCAAGACACAAGAAGCAAGCACCAACACCAACTTACAAGTAAGCACCCGACCAAGGAGCTGTATTTCTCTCTTAAAATCTCCAGATGAAAGAGACCCTTTCCCAAGCTGCAGATTACCCACCAGACACAGAAATGTTGTCTTCAACATTTTTGACATTCCCCGAAGAGGAGGCCTAAGCAATGCCCATTCCACTTTAGACATTGCCTGCAGCACCCAAATAGAAGAACCTGTCTCTAATGCTGCAGTCTCCATGACTGCTATAGCTAATAACGATATTGATAGTTGTAAACCAGGACTTACAAACACAAATTTCCGCAGAGGGAAACCGGTTCAAAGAGCAGCATCAAGGCTGTACAAAGCTGAGTGTGGTTTCAAAGGTAGAGAAGGATGTGTGGGACCTGAGTTTATAGTCCGAGCCAACCAACCTGCCAAGAAAATGGACTTGACACTCACAGCTATTTCAGATAGGAGAATAGTAACTGTTGTATTATTGAATGGCCAAAAGATGGAAGTCCTGTGTGATCCAAATATTATAACTGCAGGACAACTATTTGAAGCTTTAGTTCACAGTGAAAAGTATGAACACAATTTCATGCTTGGTATTGCTGTTTTGATTGGAGGAGACTTTGTATTTTTACCTGATGACTACAAATTGAAAAAAGTTGCCCCTGAAGGTTGGCATAAAATGCCAAGTAAAAGATGTAAAGTAGTGGAAGAAAATGTCTCTCTAACGGTTTTTTTGAGGATTAAGTTTTTCTTACCTAAAAATATTTCTGGTAACATACAGGATGGCGAATGGAGGTACCGAGTTTATTTACAACTTAGAAGGGCCACAGTTGAGGGTCAACTTACCTCCACGATACAAAATCTCATTTTATTAGCTGGGTATGCCCTGCATGTAGAATTTGGGGAGTTCTCATACAGGGAGCACGGTTCTGCTGATTATTTTCTTTTGGAACATTATCTTCCTGAAAGTGCAATAACACATGATATGGCAGATATTAAACTACGAATGAAAAGGGCACATGAATCTCGACGTGGATTAGACAGAAATAAGGCTATTATAAATTACATAACATTGGCACAAACTTTCCGCGATTATGGAGCACATTTCTACTCGGCTATCTGGGCTACCAGAGACGGTTTTTGTAGAGATGTGTGGCTATCTATTGGTCCTCGAGGTGTGACACTGTATTCTAGAAATAACCACAACTCTGAAGAATCTGGTAGTAACAATAACAGGATCGTTTTGCAAAGCTTGCCGTGGCATCACATACATACTTTCTATTACAATAAGAAAAGCCTATACATCATACCAAATTCTTACTCGGGTCTATCAAAAATCGGAGTAAAGTACAAACTTAAAATGATTGACAACAAAACCTACTTTACATATTGGTTAGCTTCACTTCATCATAGATTGTATTTAAAATTGTATGCGAAAGAAGACTTCATAACATATTTATCTGGTGAATTGAGTAATCCTGTAACTGCTGAAAGGAATACAAATAAAATCGATTGCAGCAACTACCAGGATAGCTATAATTTAGCTGTCAGGAATCCTAATCCAATAAGAGTAAGAAGACCAACAAGGAGAAGATTTAGAATGGACCTGTTTGGCGAAAAGAAGGTACAAAATAAAGAGAATGAAAAACCAAATACAGAAGAGCTACTACGACAAATACTATCATCGTCACAACACAATGACGAAAGTATGCTGAACACTTCCCACCCAAACACTCAAGGCAATTCTTCCAATGATGGTTTATCATCTTCTGAAAGTTGTAGTCTTCCAAGGAGGCATGGAGTAAAAATGGGAACAAGGGTATTTAATGGCATGAAGCCAACTGTCGATAATAGATACCGTACGTCTCCTATTCGCAATACATGTTTTAGGTCGGATTGTGATTTAGCGACGACACAAAGCGATTCCGACGACTTAAGTTCGGAGCAGAAACAACATTGTAACGTGGATAGTATGAAATTACTTCCTGAAAGACATTACAATCAAAACATTTCTACTGCCCCAACTGCTTATGTTCTAGAATCTCCAAAAGTGTACTCTGAAGCATTTAATTACAATACCACTAATAATGAATCTTGTTTGAACACATCCCTGTTTGAAAAGTTGGACAACATGGGCTGTGTGCAAGGCGAGAGAGTATTTGTTACTGTTACTTTAGAAAGGGACCAGATGAATGCGTTAGGCCTTCAAGTCGCTGAAGGTTCGGATGGGAATGTTTACATCAAATCAATAACACCCGGTAGTCCGGCAGACCTATGTAAGAAATTATTGCCTGGAGACCAAATTATATCAGTAAATGGAAAAACCCTACTAAACGTAAAATACGATAAAGCTTTGGGAATGCTGCAATCTGCGCCACAGACTGTGGAGCTTATAGTTTTACAGAATACTCTTAAGCCATCGAGTCTGGAGTATCAACACACTACAATTAGTGACGATCACAGTCAATATCCCAAGTTAAGAAATCAAAAAAGCGTCAGTGTAGCCAGTGCCTTAGATGGGGAAATAACAGACGACGAGCTCTTAAACGAAGAAGCATTAAAAACAATTTATGCTCTAATAAAACTGACTAAGGAAAAAGTTATAAGTCGAATGAAAGACAAGTCTAGCAGGCAAAGTACTCCAAACAAGAGTAATCTTCAAAAATGCTTCTCTGAGGTACAAGTTAACGAGGAATCCGATATCGGTAACTATTCATCTCAAGAGAGTACTCCACAGAAGCGAAATGGTCTAGCAAAGGGAAAGTTCAATACATGGCGAGGTCATTTACCGAATAACATGCCGAAACGAAGACCGCTTAGCCTTAGTATACCTACTGATATGGATCTACCTGAAGATTACTTGGACGATAACGAATTGCTGAAGAAGTCTTCATTGAAGTCGATACAGTCTTCGTTGAATAGTTTAGATAAATCTGTTAAAAGCACATCTTCGAAGAATGTGGCTTTGCCTAGGAACTTTGGACTTGGCAGAAGATGGTTGGGCCCCGTGCGGTACCCTGTGACGCCATGCAAGAACAGCAACAATACCACCGAAAACAGTGCAATCGTAGACAATAATATTATAAGGAGACGTTTTGTATATGGTGCTGGAGATTCAGACGAAGATCAAATATTTTTGTAATGTTTTACAGTTTACTAATATTGTTAACTATCGTAAGTAGATAGGCATAATCATTATAGAAGTTATATTGTGATAATTTGTAATAAATATTTTTATATTTAACACTGTCTCGTTTTAATTGACGTTGTTACTGTTGGTTGATTGGTCTAGTAGCTAGTGGTTAGTTTCTAATCCAAAGGTCTTGGGTTCGATTAACCTTCTGATCGCCGCCAGCCAGCCATGTCGCGTCTAAGTTGTATTGTACGCCTCACATTATGATTTACTAGCTTTCCACCCGCGTGGAATTTTGTCTATCACAAAAACTTTTACGCGCGCGTCCCTGTTTCAAAAACCGGAAACAATAACGTTACTTTCTATCCTGTCTTTTCCCGGGACTCTATGCTAAATTTCATCAAAATCGGTTCAGTGGTTTAGGCGTTAAAGGAAGACAGACAGACAGAGTTACTTCCGCATTTATAATATTAGTATAGTTGAACTTTTAGTTGGGTGGGGGGGAGGCTTATAAATAAGTACTCAGATGAACACATGGACGTATAATTTACGCCAGTGGTTCTTTTAAATCTCTGACCTAATAGGCGTATCTCGAGATTAACATCTCGCTTAGTAACAGCAACCATATCGCATTCCGGCATTGATAATAGTAATAACTAGTACTATGTACTATGAAATGTACTATAAACTTGTCTTATCATCTCACGAACTAAGGCATTGTTACGTAAGCCGCACAGATACCGGCAGCGATAACTTCACAAAGTGAACGCGCGCGTATTGTTTGCAAATTCTCAACTACCACATGTGGGAGAAAACTTTTTACAAAATCTCATTAACTTTCGTATTTCATTCATTTCAAAACTATCACTAATGAAAACATCAAGTTGTAGGTACTTAACATGAGCAAGGAATGAAAAAAAAACTTTAGAAAACATTATTTTATTATTAAAAATAACAGTTGCTTGCACAATTCAGCCAACATTATAACTAACTAAATAAATCTACTACATTTGTAACACAATCAGACTCATTAAAATAAACGGAAACTACGTAGTCATTCACACCACAATTTTTACAACTAGAACATATCAATTAAATTGCCATACCCACAACAGGTGATGTAACTATTATAACATAGTTCTTTATTCACATTACTAAATGCATCAATAGTCTATTCGGTATTTACATCATACCGCCCATTCCCCCCATGCCGCCCATGCCTCCCATGCCAGCCATGGGGTTGGGCTCCTTCTCCTGAGGGATGTCGCAGATGACGGCCTCGGCTGTCGTCAGGAGTGACGCGACGCCACTGGCGTCTGTGAGCGCTGTTCTGACTACTTTGGTGGGGTCAATGATGCCCTTCTCAATCATGTTCACATACTCATTGTTCAGCGCATCATATCCGAATTCAGGTCCCAAATCTTCAACTTTGGCAACAACAACAGACCCATCGATTCCTGCATTGCGTGCAATAGTCATGCAAGGCATTCTGAGGGCTTTCTTGACAATTTCTACACCAGTAGCCTGGTCTGGGTTGGCGGTCTTGAGCTGTTCAAGTACTGGAATGCATCTGAGGAGAGCTGAACCTCCGCCGGGAACGATACCTTCCTCAACAGCAGCACGGGTGGCACACAGGGCATCATTGACACGGTCCTTCTTCTCGTTGACTTCGACTTCGCTGGAGCCACCGACGTGAAGTACAGCAACACCCGAGGCCAAGCGGGCAAGACGTTCCTGCAGCTTCTCCTTCTCATACTCAGAGGTGGTTTCCTGGATTTGATCACGGATTTGTTCAGCTCTCCTGTCAATATCGGCCTTCTTGCCCTTTCCTTTGAGTAGCAGTGTGTCATCCTTGGTGATAACAACCTCAGCAACCTGACCTAAATCAGAGGGCTGGACATCTTCCAATTTGATAAGGTTAGCATCATCACCGAACACAACACCTCCGGTAGCGATAGCCATGTCACTTAGGGTGGCCTTGCGGTTGTCACCAAAGCCTGGAGCCTTGACTGCAGCCACTTGGAGACCAATCTTCAGCCTGTTAACAACCAAGGTGGAGAGAGCCTCTCCATCAACATCCTCAGCAACGATGATCAGTGGCTTCCTTTGTTGGTTGGCCATCTCCAGAGCAGGGATAATAGTCTGCACATTGCTGATTTTCTTCTCTGAGAACAAGACTAGTGCGTCCTGGAACTCGACTTTGGCGCCCTTGGAAGAGTTGATGAAATATGGTGAAATATAACCTCTATCGAATTTCATACCTTCAATGATTTCTAGTTCGTCGGTGAGCGTTTTCCCGTCCTTCACGGTTATAACGCCGTCGCGGCCGACCTTCTTCATGGCGTCGGCGATGAGCTGGCCGATGGCGGTGTCTCCGTTGGCGGAGATGGTGGCGACCTGCGCGATCTCCTCCGGTGTCGTGACGGGCTTCGACATCGTCTTCAGCTTGTCCTTGACTGCGTCCACCGCCAGCATGACGCCCCTTCTGATTTCGATGGGATTCGCACCCTTTGAGATCTTCTCGAAACCTTCCTTGGCGATAGCTCTCGCAAGAACGGTGGCAGTCGTGGTACCATCGCCGGCTTCTTCGTTTGTGTTGTTCGCCACATTCTGGACCAGTTTTGCTCCAATGTTCTGGAATTTGTCTTTGAGCTCCACTCCTTTGGCGACGGTGACTCCATCCTTGGTGATCTTCGGTGAGCCCCAGGACTGTTCTAAGATCACATTTCTGCCCTTGGGACCCATTGTGACAGCGACGGCGTCAGCCAGGACGTCGACGCCCTGGAGCATGAGGGCTCTTACATCAGCACCGAACCTTACATCTTTGGCGTAAAATCTTGCGTTTTGATATGATTTGTGGAATGCAGCAGTCTGGCGAACAACACGAGGCAAACGCAACATTTTGAAATAAAATTAAATTCGATATTTGATGCTCCAAGGAGTTTTCCAACCTCTGTCTATTTCTCGAAGATTCTCGCCGGGATCGCAAAACGTGATCTTCTGCCGGTTGAGGTTATATCGAGCGAATGAATGGCGTCGTCGGAGTACGGTTCAAGGTGCAACACACAGAGCAAAGTAATACATGTGCAACACTAGTAGAAAACGTTCCATTTGTCGTTTTTCAACTTCGATACACGTTTGTCTCTTTCATTATTCTAAAATTAAATAGAGATAGAAATATAATACATTTCCATTAGATTGTCATCTCTCGTGAAACGGAACGTTCAATAAAGACCATAGACAAAAATTTAATAAAGCATAGTTCTCACAATCTTACTTTTAATGAAAAAATATCGGTACACGCCTTTACGCGATAGAAAGTTGCTAGTGTGTAAAAGCCCTAAAAAGAAAAATAATGACACGCGTTTGATGACATGTGTCATTATGACATTTCGCGTTCTTCGGTCGCGGTTCGGTCTTGGGAGCACGTTTTTCAATTTATAAATCAACAAATACATGCGGTGATAAGACGCACGATAAGGAATAAAATAACTTGAACGTAAAATAATACATTAGTGCTAACGGTGACTGTTGAGGCGTCTTGAGTTGCCCATAAAAATATTACATAATGGATAAACCCAGGTGAGCTAATTTTCTAGCATTAGCGACTTCCTTTCTCAAGAGGAATTAATTTCCATATTAGTGCGAGCTGCTTATTTTTAGTTTCTACAGTTTTGTGCCAGTAAGCCTCAGTATTTAATTGTAAGCTAAAACATTCTTTGTTACATGTTTCTTAGTTTGAAAGAAATGTTTTTATGGAATTGTGGCTTTTGTAATAATGTTAGCTATCTTCCAGTATTATCTCTATACCAGCCGATTATCCTCACAAATTATTGAATTACCACAATCATAAAAAATCCGCTTATAGGGACAATAATAAATTAAAATTTGCAAACTTATTTTGTGGTCTGAGCTTGCAGTGAAATCCATCTCTAACAATTAGTTATTGTTACTCAATGTATTTGTAATTTATTTTTGTTTCTCAGTTGCGTCTGCCTTAAGGAGGGTGCTTTGGTAGGCATTGGTAATCCCTTGCTGGATATCTCGGCCATAGTGGATGATGAACTGCTCAAGAAGTATGGTCTGCAGCCGGACGATGCTATCATGGCTGAAGAGAAGCACATGCCCTTGTATAGAGAACTTATGGAAAAGTATGTATAAGCTTTTAACTCTCATTTTAGTGCTTAATTTTGCTATACCACACTGTTAGTTTTGTATTATTTAGCAAAAAAATATGGGAATTTAATTTCTAACATTTTCCATTACAGCGTACTTTCTGGCATTGCCGGCCAGCCAGCCAAGTAATGTTTAAATTATTATGGTTTTCCAATTTGTTTGTATGTACCTACTAACTTTTTAAATTACTTCGACAAGAACAAAAAATTTTTTAGAAATTAGGACATGAATCTAACTAAATATTTTTTTCATTATTTCAATATTTTACGTCTCGTATTTTGTATGTTTATAAAATATTTAAATCATTTTTACCTAATGAACATTGAATGATGAATGTGAAAGTGACCTATTCCTAGTGCAAAACTCAACTATTAGATCAATCTTTTCCTGTCTCACATTTATATGTACATATTTGGATTTTCCAATGCATGAAATAGTGCTCTATGTAGATTATTTATGTAGCTGATGAATTGTTTAAGTGGACCTGTATTATCAAGTTTATTATTTGAAGTAATGATGATAAAAACATCATTACATCATTTTTTCTTGACTGAATTACAGAATTGCAATTGACTGATCATCATATTAATTTAATGTTTATTTCTTGATTACTAAGATGATAAAGAAAGATATCTTTGAGGTAAACACGCGCTTACCTTACGCTTTTAAATACGCGCAATTTCTTTCACTAAGTTCAAAAAGTAAATCTAAAAATACGAATATCGTGAATCGTTTTAGTAACAAATTGTTATGTTACTATGTCCTCTGTAGAAGATAGATCAATCAATAGGTTAAATAATCGACTGATAAACTGGGACACAAGTCTTCAATTAAACATTATTGGGATTGTATGACGGGATATTAATAGACCATGATATGCTTTCAAGTGATATACTTTACATACATACGGCATGCATTTCATTTGTACATTATAATATTTTTAAAGTTTGTGAATGTAGTAAGTTAGCAGTTTGAAATGTAACTAATAATTTTTTATGGGTGTTATTTTTTATATCTATAGTCTGGTCCGTGAGCACGTAGAATTTTGTCCAATGACCCCAAGCTACCCATCCTTATCGCTCGCGCGTAATTATGTTGCTATCGCGCTCGCACACTCACTGCGGGTGCCAGTCGCACAGTCGCGACAGCAATATACCTAATTACGCGCAAGCGATAAGGATGGGTAGTTAGGGGTCATTGGACAAAATTCTACGTGCTCACGGACCGGGCTTTAGACGTGAAATTACATCGTACGCGAAGCGACAACTTTACTATGGAATTAACATCGGAAAAGGATAAAAATCTATTACGTTATCAAGTTGACGATTCTGTCTGCTGTTCGTTTGTCAAGTACATGCCGATTGAGCTAACTGCGTACCTCGCTGGAATGCGACTCTCCCTCCCACTTACCCGCACACCTTTTGCGTTCTCCCCGCGTCCGTACCAGAGGGTCGATGTGACGTCACGGCCGTCAGGTATGAAATTAGCTCGACCGGGTTGTATGTTCCTCATGCATAGACATAGACCCAAATCTTTGAACAGAAGTACATAGTATCGTATTGTTGGCGTGTGTGTTACGGTCTCATGTATCATCAATCATCAACAGCCCTTTACAGTCCACTGCTGGACTATGAGCCTCCTCCACTATAGTGGAGGGTTTTGCCATAATCTCCACGCTTGGCAGGCGGGTTGGAGATCGCAGTTTAAAAGATTGATGTTTTTCAGAGAGCGCTGCTGCCCATTCTCTGTTTGATGTGTAGTCCCTAAGTCGCCTCTTACGACACCCGCGGGAAGAGTAGGGGTTGGTGACAAATGTATTCTACTCTGCCGTCACCACACGGCTAGGTCTCTCGTTCTCATGTATACCGACACGAAAACATCTTATCATTTCTCATGATGTGTTGTTGGTAGATCTTTGTCAATAAATAAATGAAGAATGACTAAATTGGTTAAGAAATAAAGAGCTATTGAACGCGCGAAAAAAGTCGAGTCTAGCCGAAACCCAACGCGGCAGCACGATCCAAAATTTTCTTGATTTCGATGTTGCTTCCATCGTGAAAGAGGTTTCAACAGTTTGCTCACAGCATTAATTGATAAGTTATCTCGTAAGACTCACCAGTTCACCACCCTATATTATACCTTGGGTGTTTAAACCTACATCGTGGGATGATTTGTGGTTGTAATTTAATAAATGCTCCCAGCCGCAATATTGTAAATGACACTTATTATATCTAATGTAAATAATTATGTAATAAGACCCATTTGAGTGCATTGTGGTTTTGAAACAATACAGGTTGGGACACAAACTAACATATGAACTGTGTCCTGCTCTTCACCACTTACGTACTTCTAATAGTACATTTTGTTTTACAGGTACAAAGCGGAGTTCATAGCCGGGGGCAGCGTGCAGAACTCGCTTCGTGTCGCACAGTGGATCCTCAAAAAGCCACACATATGCACGTACTTCGGATGCGTGGGGAACGACGACTATGCCAAGATATTGAAGGAAAGGGCCGTGTAAGTTGTTTTACTTTTTACCCGACTGCGCCAGGAGCGTTATGTTTTTTTACTAATAGTTTAGGTATTTTATTTATTTATTTAGGTTCTCCAAGCATCACATTGATTAGAAAGATATTTATTTATTGCGACAGTCTTTTGACTCTATTCAATAAAACGATATCGATATTTGACAAAACAGTCAAAAATAAGCTGTAGTCCAGCAAACATAAAGTTACTAATTGGATAGTTAACATTACATACAGTCTAAAATATTTGTGTACATACAAATAAATGTGTTTATCATTCAAACTTGATAATATGATGTAATGTATATCAAGTATGAGTGACTGGACAATTGGACGTGAATGGCGTATCAAACGCAATGTATGTCAGTGTTGGTCAATAGAGAAATAATTGTCGCGACTAATCGCAAATGGAACAATGTAAATGGCAAACAAAAGATAATTTCGCGTATCGTTATAATTAGATTCGGTTTCGCCAAGGAAAACTTTGCATGAGAGAAAGATAACTGTTGTATGAAAACACATGATTCGATTCGCATATCGGCACGGTAGCATCTATGATAAAAATATAGGAAATACAGAGATAGAGAATCTCTACCGGTACCCAATACCCGTGGCGACCACGGGTATACGTAGCGTGGGCAGGCTTCCTACTAGGTGGACCGACGATTTGGTGAAGGTCTCGGGAAGAGCCGGGATGCGGGCAGCGCAGGACCGTTCATTGTGGAAAACCTTGGGGGAGGCCTTTGTCCAGCAGTAGACGTCATTCGGCTGAAACGAACGAACGAACCCAATTCACCCCCATTTGTACGAGTATGTTTTTGGTGTATGTGTTTCATTGAGATCGATCGAAATACTTATAGTCACATTAAATACCTAATTATCTAAGGTCAATCAAGATCGATAGTATTTATTTTGTTTGCTGGAATGCTTTGTATTTATACGATCAAACATTTCCTCATACATCAGATAGGTTGTGGTAGCTAATGAGATAATAGGTACGCATAGATTATAGTTTTCCTCGTTTGCGAGCGACTAGAAATTGCAGACCCCCCTCAGTTAGTCAGTAATCCTAGCGAGCTATATCATTTTCATTACCATTTCAAAATAAATGTGAAGCAATAAAGATTAGCTTACAAACGTATTAAACGATAAAATACTGAAGAACACCTTACTTGCAAAATAAATAAAACCGTTTAAAAACAAGCGATCACACGCTCTTATTCACATTATTATAATAAGCAAGTAACAAAAAGCAAAAATTTGAATTGAGATTTGCGACAGATTGTGGACTGAGCGCTGTATTTCTTGTAACCTTTTCCCTACAACACGCCCCAACGTTGTTTACCTAATCACTCATAGTAAACATGTGTAATAATCACGTAATTATCAGATAATATTCGTTATTAACATAAATCGGGCAAGTCATCAACCCTGAATGCCTGATAAGTGATAACGATCGTACGAGGTGCAAATCGTCCCGTATCTTCTGCCGTTAGATTTGGTTTATCGAGTATTAGAAACAGATCAATCAATATCATGTCAGATAAAAATTGTTGAAGAGACGGGCATGCAAGTGGGTAGAGGAAATTAGGTCTTATATCCAAGTGTTAAAGTATGATTATATTACTGTATAAGTTTTTTTATTTATCGTTTAAAGTGCCCATCAAGTTTTTACTAAGTCACGTAATTTCCGCTAACACCATGTAGTAGCCTATGTGTGTATTGAAATTATGAAAACTATGCTTTGAGCATCTGGTTGAGTCTAGTCTAATCGCATTCATCATCATCATCATCTCAGCCATAGGACGTCCACTGCTGAACATAGGCCTCCCCCAATGCTTTCCATGTTACCCGGTTGGTAGCGGTCTGCGTCCAGCGCTTTCCTGCTACCTTTATGATGTCGTCGGTCCACCTTGTGGGTGGACGTCCCACGCTGCGTTTTCCGGTACGCGACCTCCTAATCGCATTAGGGACACGAGATTCGATCAGTATATTCCTCGCCTGAAAGGCTCTGCCATAATAATGATAAAATATTTACTTTTCACATGAAAAACATGACAAACTCGTTTGCCACATTTCCGTCTCAAACCCACAACCTTTCCCTAACGACTAACCGCTGAGCCATAGAGACACGTTTAGTTCGTTCGTTTCAGCCAAATGACGTCCACTGCTGGACAAAGGCCTCCCCCAAGGACTTCCACAACGACTGGTCCTGCGCTGCCCGCATCCAGGCACCTACCGCGAAATTCACCAGATCGATGACACGTTTACCCTGTATAAAATGCCCTGTTCAACAATGCAAGTACATATCAGATAATTTTGCTGCATTAGTGACTGAATTTCTTGCGCTACTTCTTCTCACCACTGGCCCATTTATTGTCTTGAAGCGGTGGTAGGGTTACTACTTTTTTTTTATCCATAACGAGGAAGCTCTTGGCCTGTATCTCACCTGATGGTAAGTGATGATCAGGCCGAAGGTGGAAGCGAGCTTCACTTGGACGTATAAAAGTGCTTTTTAAAAGCCTACTTGCATAAATAAATGAGTTTTTTATGCAGAAAAATGCGCATTCGTCTGGAAACTGCAAATGTAACCAGCAACTGTGTCAACAGTGATGTAACTCCCAAACTTTGCTCTGCTGAGCTGATACTGATAACGTCTCGAGATAAAATGACAGGGCGTCTGATCCCGCGTGATAACATTTGATCTTACAAGTCACACTTACATTTATTTATCTATTTATACTTTACTATTATCATAAACTCAAACCAAAGTGTGTGAGGAATGAGGATGTATGGATGGATGTTGCCAACGTCCATGTACTGTTTCACGCAAAAACTACTTCATGGATTTTGATGAAATTTTTCGTTATAGATTTCTATCCGCATCGAAGGCTAGGCTATAAATTAGTACCTAATAAGTACGCTTAATAATATACGTTATTATTTTGTACTACCCATCACTACCCAAATGGTCTACTCATACGACTGCGTAACAATTGATTAGCTATTTTCGTGTGGCTTGAAGAGGCTACCTACAATATACATGGGCAAAGCCGTAGGCAAAAGCTAGTCCTCTAGAAATGTATGATACTTCGAGCAAAGTGAAGTATGTAATAGTGGTAAGAATGTACATTTTGTTCGGTTTATCTTTATCTTAAACGCTGTGACCTCGCGGCGATAAGCTCATTAGCACCGCTTCTGTTTGAAAGTAAAAATATGCCTACTTAGGTATAAGGAAAACCTTTATGTAAAACTGTTTCAGTTTGTTTAATATGTTGTCCTGGCATTTGAAGCTTCAGATTACTTTGTCGCTGTATTGAAGCCGTACCTTATAATAGTCTAAGCGGCTTAGCCAGCCCAGATTGCCACATAATCTGATTCAAAATACTTCTCTGTATTGGGCAAAGATGTATGTACTACCTGCTGAAATCATTTATTTCTTTACCACATTATTAGCGCATTCACATGAAGTTTTATAATTCAGGCATTTACACATTGATATGGACCCAGTTAGGGCACAGCAGCAAGCAAACAAGGCAGATGTTAGTGTGCACCAATAATTTTACTTTTATCACGCTCACAACAATCCTCCATTATTTCCTCCAGCGCAGAGGGCGTGACGGTGCACTACCAGGTGACATCCGAAGCCCCTACAGGCACCTGTGCTGTGCTGGTGACAGGCACCCATCGGTCCCTGTGCGCCAACCTGGCGGCTGCACAGAAGTTCACCGCCGACCACTTAGCTAAGGAAGAGTGCAAGAAGAGCATAGAGGCGGCGAAGTTCTTCTACGCTTCTGTGAGTGGATCTATTTTGTACAGCAAATTAGATGGCTTGGGCTAGTAGGTAGCGGTACGTACTCTGCTACAAACCCTAATAACTTGCTAGTCGCACAAGTTCACCGCAGGCCCGACAGTTCTCCGGGCCTAAGAGTTTGGTTGCCCGCTGATGCTCGCACGACTACTTAGCCTTTTCTAAATCGCGCTGGGTTTAGTAAGAGAAGAGCGTGGACTAAATTCTTTCAATACCCTGATGAGTTATAAAGAAATAGGTTCTAAATTACATTTTTAAAATAACTTGAAAAATATTTAGATCGAGAGGCGACTCTCAGACGCAAGATTTTTTAGTAACTAAAATACATTGTTGTCACTCCTTACTCACCTGCCTGACTGATTTACCTATTCTTTATGGACTAACTTGTTCACTTGCAGGGTTTCTTCGTAGCAGTGTCGCCCGAGGCGATCATGCAACTAGCGTCACACGCGCACAACCGCCGGCACTCTTTCGTCATGAACCTCAGCGCGCCCTTCGTCTCGCAGTTCTTCAAGGAACCACTTGAGAAGCTGCTGCCGTATGTCGACGTGCTGTTCGGGAACGAATCGGTAAGTCATCATCGTCATTTCAGCCACAGGACGTCCACTGCTGAACATAGGCCTCCAATGATTTCCATGTCTCCCGGTTGGTAGCGGCCTGCATCTGACGCCTTCCTCTATGAGGTCGTACCATGTGGGTGGACATCCCACGCTGCATTTCCCGGTATGTGGCCTCCCTCCAGAAGAACCAGAACCTTGCTGCCCCATCACTATAACATCATAACTACAATTTACAACGGGGAAACTCTTGGCCTGCATTTCATTTGATGATAATCAGACCGAAGGTGCTTTCTCACACTGGGAGTGCTCAAACGCAGGGACGACATGTTTTAGGATAGCGAAGTGGCAATCGAGTTCAATCGGCAGATGTTGTAGTACTTGTAGTTTTGGTAACAGAATTTGATAGCAGCAGTATGATAGGACATTACTTACTATGAGAAACTCTATAGATTGTAAAGAACGTTTTTATTTTCATTAACATGTATATCATCTTGTCGCTATAATAAGTTAGGAGCCAGGAAATGTAGCCGAGTCTAATAATAGAATTCACCTTCCAATGTCAATTTCCAATTCAACCTTTCCAGGAGGCAGAAGCATTCGCGAAAGCTTTCAACATCACCTCCACGGATTTGCAACAAGTCGCGCTCAGGATAGCCGCCATGCCGAAGGTCAACGAGTCCCGCAAACGTGTCGTAGTCATCACGCAAGGCTGCGACCCGGTCATCCTGGTCGAAAACGGAGAGATCTCCCTCATCCCTGTCAGTGTATTGGCCAGGGAACAGATTGTAGACACCAATGGGGCAGGTGACGCGTTTACAGGAGGATTCCTAGCTCAAATGGTGCTCGGGGCTTCGTACAAGACTGCTGTAAAGTGCGGGATATACAGTGCTACTCATATTATCCAACACTCGGGCTGCACGTTCAGTGGTCAAAGCTGTTTCGCGGACAGCTAACTTTGGTGGACAGACGATCAGCTAAGGCAACAGTGAATATTTGCGCTGTGTTTAGGAAAGTTGTCTAGACGACATATCAGTTTTTGTTAGTATAATTCGAATGAAAGAAACTCGACTGTTAGACCAGGGATTATAATTTCTTCATTGTTAAAACAGACTGATTCGTCCTCTTGACACAGTTTACTTGTTGTTACATATTTAGATGTTTGTTCCAGACTTTAAACCTTACTAGATTCGTCTCTGGTCCCGACTAACTTTTTCTCTTATCAGTCTACCTTTTGTACCGTAAATGCTATAAATTCCCAAATAAATTTTAGCCAAACCAGACCAATTTTTAAGTCGAGTTTCTTCAAAGTGGAGTGAACTTTGTGTGGTGTGAGGTTCGAAAACAGTAACCATGTAAGTACATAATAATTTGGGACTCATTTCTCAATCGTCAAATCTATTTTTGTAAATGATTGTTGAAGGTATGGTTACATTTCAATTAACTGACTATTAACGTTGATTCGTTGCTCTTCAACTCGAAATGAGCACACAGATATCGCTGGAGTGTGCATTGATTGCGCGCACTACTAACTTTAAAACTCGGCTAATAACTCGAATATCTACATAAGTGTGAACTATTCCTGATGTAAATAAACTAATGCGTTGATTCTGTCACACGTTGTCCCAGAAAGTTATTTGACGATTGAATAATCTGCCCTGAAGATTAAAACACGCACACAACAATATTGTTATCATTAATCTACAGTGGTTCATACCTCATTCGTCGATGTAATTACACCAAAAACACTTATTTACCATTGATGTAATTGAAACTCATTATAAAAATAATTTGTTTGATGTTATAATTAATTAACCACTTAATTGATTCATGATACTAATGTAAAAAATATCTACAATATCAAGCTCTTCATTTTAATTGCCGAGCTTGGAAACTTGGCGTAATTGTTGAACATTTTGTGTAAGTAATGTTAAATTTTGATGAATTGTTAATAAGGCATAGTAATAAATAAATAATTAATCTTTTATAGAATTATGTGTGTACTTTGTGGAAGGACGTACAACACGGTCGAGGTAACTGCGTACCCGGCGGCCGTGACGTCACATCGCCGCTGGTACAGACGGCGCAGTTAGCTCGAAACGGTTGTACTGTCCGCAATTTTAGCAAAACGTTGTCATAGAATATTAGATGAAATCAATAGTATTATAAATAGATCTGAAATAAGACATAGATTTGCCTGTAATGTAATCAGTTCGAATAAAATAAAGTTAAATAGATTTTGATTGGTGCAAATATTAGTATGTAAATGTTAGTGTGCTGTGTACATAAATATGCATCGAATATAGGGTTAATTTATAGAATGAATAAAACAAGCTGCACATACAAATTATAATCATTTATTACTATACATTAGTAATACTTTTAATAGGCACTGGTTGCTTATTCATAGTAAAAATAGTCAATATGTGCATATTATAAAGATCAGCTGGAGACATAAGAGCAACTTTTACAATCGCTTACTCCGGTACAAGTACTTACTTACAATATCATTTGTGCATGCTATTATGTCACCAGTTGATTTTTATAATGCTGTTAACTAACAGTTAATGGAAAAGGGATGATGACACCTGATAGGCTGATACACTTGTGTAGTGGTGTCCTCATGCCTATTGTAAATGAATAAAGAATTAAAAACATTTGTATTTCAACTTACACAAGATTAATAGTCACTTCTTAAATCTAATCTCAGTTCAGTATAATGTAAATCTTTATAACAACATATAAATTTTTTAAATTCAAAAATGTTAACAAAAATGTCATAGGAACTGGTTTTACAGTCAACATTAAATCTATAAATTTACTTAATTACTAGAACCTGCTAGAATACTCCACACGCCAAAGCCACAGTCGGTGACTTGATGTTTTCAATATTAACATAATTAGAGAGGAGAAAATATAGCAGCCAACACATGTCAGGCGGGTCAGTGGTCTTTGGTGTGTGGACTCCTTAAGATTTGTTAACAAAAACTACAGCATAGTGTACTATATGTATATTCCAGTCTGGCCACAACTGCTCCTCATTGCCTAATAGTGGCATACATCGATATATCTCAATAATAATAAAATTGTTCATGTCCTTTATTCTTTTTGTAATACTTCTTGTTATCCTTGTATAGTCTGAGTTTATTATCCTACATATAATCTTAGGTGCATCATCAATGCATGCCTTTCTTTCACACACCACACATTTGGGCTGCAAATGCTTCAACTGTTTTGTCCTACTACGTTTTCTTGAAGACCTGTAAGAAAGTTGTATAAAATAAATTAATTGTACTTATTTGTTATGGAATAAACATGATTTTCACATTTTTTTCCTTTTATTGTTACACAGTAGAAAATAAATTTTAAAATATTGTAATTGAATAGTAAGTATTAAGTTATTTTCCTTGGTAAAAGTATAGTTCAAGTAAGGAAGAACTCCTATGTACAACAATATTAAGAACTTTAGAAGTGACGCGCGCCGTTTAGAAACTTAATTATTTTCATAGAAAGATTACGTTACATACTTTATGATATTTAGATGAGGTTCAACCAACTTACCTCATTATTATTTATTAGTTAATTTGACGGTATATCGAAAGAAACTTTGCTGCAAGTTGTGTAGGGTGTCAAATTTCATGTAACTTCTTGAACGTTATCAGTGTGAACTATCGCCACTTATGCACAACAAAATCTTTTGGGACACCACCTTGTTACAGTTTAAAAAACTCAAAATACTGAAAATTGACTGAAATTGAAAAACTTTCCAAAATTTTACTTTTTCGTAAACCGCTGATCGCGCTATTTTCGATTTTTTTTATCAACTGACAACTGTCATATCTGGAAATGACTGTTTTGCCATTAAGCAGAGTGTACACAAGAAATTGCGATTAGTCTCACTCAGCAGAAATTATTGCGGACTTTATGAAGTTAGATTTTAGAACCTACTGCAACAAACGCACACTTATCGAACGAAATCGTAACGATCGTCATGTTCGTGTGCTTGGTTGGAGGCGAACCGCGAGGCCATTACGTTACGATTCTGATAAGTATGTGTAAGTAGAGCACTAATAACTTGATAAAAACCCGTGTAATATTTCATAACTTTCAGTGATCTTAATTATATTTTTCATTATGTCAAAATTATTTGCATAAGTCTGCAAAAAATATACTATCACTTTGGTTGTTATACCGACTTTTCAATCATTCAATGCATGTTCAATGCCGATTTACCTTCTCCTTCTCATAATCAAACCATAGACAAAACGGTAATAAATGGAAATGAATTTGTTATTGTTTAATTAAAATGGCAATACTGTTTTGTGACCGACACACAGTGTGTTATGGGACTGTATAATCGGACATTCTCATTGATTTGATGAAACGTATAGAGCTCAGTTATACAAACATGATAGTAAAACTCCCGTTTGAAAATTCCACGTAGTTTTCGCGGTATAAAATTTCAAAGTTACCTATTTTTTTACTTCAAAATTATGCAAAAATATTCTCACTCGTTAACTAATAACATTTAATTCAGAATTGTTATAATACTTCATAGAGCTCTTAAAACTACACGTAATAAGCGTATTAAGTGCTTCGTGAACGCATTCAGTTAATTAGGAAAAATGATTTTAGTGATTTTTGTTTTTATTTTTTTTCTCAATTACACCTTAATATATGCAAACATTTTTAATTGCAAGATATAGTCTGATATTTAATCTAATTGTATTAATAAAATCAGCTTTAAACTCCGTGATATATTTGAGAAAAAACATAAAACGTCTTAATAAAATTTTTACGCGTCTAGGGTCGACAATTTTGGAAAGAATAATTCATGTCTAAAAAGTTTCAAATCCCGCCTGTTATGTGCATAGTGTTGAAGGTTCTAAAAAGTCACATTCACATTGTTTTTAACCTACTTCAAAAAAAGGAGGAGGTTCTCAAGTCGAGTCTTTTTTATTTTTTTACACTCTTATATTAACTTAAGTTGTATGTAAGTTACTAACTAAAAAAGTATGTAAACAAATCTAGGAAGTCGAATTTAGCCAACCTTTAATAATTATCTCATCGATTTGAAACCTATGTAAATCGAATGTCAATACAATAATTTGGTACAATCGAGCTGATGATATTTAAACATCCAAAAGAAATATTGCTATTAAAAAGTGATGGGAAATTTACAATTCTATATTTCGCATATTTTCAATTTGATTTTCCTCAAATATATCACGGAGTTTAAGGCTGATTTTTTTTATACAATTAGATTAAATATCAGACTATATCTTGCAATTAAAAATGTTTGCATATATTAAGGTATAATTAAGAAAAAAAATAAAACCAAAAATCATTAAAATCATTTTTCCTAATTAACTGAATACGTTTACGAAGCACTTAATATGCTTATTACGTGTAGTTTTAAGAGCTCTATGAAGTATTATAACAATTCTGAATTAAATGTTACTAGTTAACGAGTGAGAATATTTTTGCATAATTTTGAAGTAAAAAAATAGGTAACTTTGAATTTTTATACCGCGAAAACTACTTGGAATTTTCAAACGGGAGTTTTACTATCATGTTTGTATAACTGAGCTCTATACGTTTCATCAAATCAATGAGAATGTCCGTTTATACAGTCCCATAACACACTGTGCGACAGGATATCAAATACATTTTTTCAACAAGGCAATGTGATTGATAGCCATTTTGAAGAGCCTTTTGTTGGTGTTTTGTGAATGTTTTCATGTAATTTTTTGCATTATCTAGTAAAAAGAAATTTGTATGAGCACCATGAAGCCATAGTTTTAGTAAAAGGCCAAATCGTGTTGACTTATCGTGAATGTGTTGTTTGTTTGGGGAAGAAGCATTGTGGAAAAAAAAACCGGAAAGAACAGTCATATTTTACTCTTGTTTTAATTTTCTTTGTAAATAATTTTTATAATTTGTCAAGACAAAAAGTGATAAAAGTCAGTGTTTTAGATTATTTCAGTGAAGTGTTACAGATTTATCGTTTATTTACGTCGCGTGTTTTGTTGTACGTAAAATTTAGATCGCCACAAGATGGCCGCCATAGGATGCCCGCTCCGCCAAAACCCGCTCGTGGGGCCCGATGTGTCATCAGCCAGCGAGCGCCTCGCGGATGTGCTGTAAGCCGGCGTCGGCCGCGGAGCCGAGCGTTCCGGTCGCTTTCGGCGAGGTTCCATTCCATACAATGGGATTTCGCTCGAGGCGCCAAAATATGATGGGTGTTGACACAAGTCTGATACCGTACCGTTACTCTGACGGCTGCACAAAATAATCGTTGACAAAAATGAGCGAGCCAGACGACGTCGGCAAAGAAGAGTGGAAGCGATGGATATTGGACGCGATTCACAAAATTCGGGCGCAAAAACAGAGGCCCAGTGTGGAGAGAATATGTCATGCAATTAGGCAGCACCATAACTATCATGAGGACGTTGTTACGGAGCGTTTGGAAAGCGCAGTGCGCGAGGGTGTCGTGTTGAAAGTGTATAATAAAGGGCAGAGCTCGTACAAGGACCCTGGAGGTTTCCAGAGCAAGACATTGCGGGTGTCGGCAGACACGGACCTTTCGCGGGCAGTGGCCAAAGCAGTGCGGGAGTTGTGTGAACGGGAGGGTTCTACGCTGAAATCCATTGAGAGACATTTGCGGCAAGCGTACCAAGTGTCAGTGCCCCCTGAGGTTGACATCAAAAACATTTTAAGGTCGGCAGCGAAGAGAGCAGTGGCTAGGGGTCTGCTTACTCATCAGGCGGGAGCGTATAAGCCCACTGATAAGTCTACCGAGCGAAGTAGTATAAAAAAATCTAAACAACAACAACAAGCACCAGAAGAAGTTGTTGAAGAGGTATGTTAATAAAGTTACACCTTCCATTCACATGTCTTGAACAATGTAATTAGTTTGTTAACAACAACAAATAACAATGCTGGCAACATTAACATTTTGTACAGCTAACCCATTTTCAAACACAAGCCAAATGTGTGTATTGCATTCTCACAATAAAATTCTAAATAAATTCTCAACATTTCAACTCAGTTGTCAGAAGTTCATTGTCAAGGTCAATGACCTATTCTACATTGCTCTAGGATTCACATGATTGTTGTTGCCTTTAATTCTTAATTCATTACTATGAGTTTGTTTAACATAGACAGATGCTTATTTTAAGATTATTTGCATATTATTTCACTGCTATTTTAGATGATAATAATGATGCAATGATAATTTCCATATTATTATCTTTTTCAACTAAATATTTTTTATAGTGTTATGATTTAAGTATGTCTTAGATCCTTACATACAGTAATTTAAGTTTTCTTACAGCTAGAATAGCTGAAAAAGTTAAATACTTACATAGTTCAGTAATAATTATTAACAATATTATAGTAAACTTTTCTCATCCCTAATGATGCCATAAAAATAAATGCCTATAATATAAAAACAGTTGATTGCGGTTTTTCAGAACCTTAACTTTGTTATACCTACCTATTTGTAATCAAAATTATTATGAATTGTTGTAAGCTGTATGTATTATTGACATAATATAAGATTTTAAACTTTCATGTTCCATTTCAACTAAAATAGTAAGACACGGGTCTTAACTGTACAGACATATTGTTTGGTCTTGTCATCATTGCATGCATTATTTGTTTTTATAAAAATGTGGTTTTGGTAAATTCTATTTCAAACATTACAAAAATAAATAAGATATAGAAACCCCATTTAACTACTAAAACTGTATACTTATTTGTATCATATAAAATAATAAAATATCTACAGCATACAATTTCATATAAAGTAATAAAATGTTTTCAGAAATGGTAAAATGCTGGGGCTTCAGAAAGTTCATAACATACTTAAAAGCTGTTCAAAATTGTTTCAGCCAAAGGAAAGTCCACCAGTCCAAGTTGGTGTGCCGGTTTGTTCCGAGTGCCTGGGGACGGACCTGAGGAATGGGCTAGGGGCCGTGGAAGCCTTGATCTGCTGCCAACAGTGCAAGTCTTATGCCCACCCTACCTGCCTCAACCTTTTGGAGCACGTGAATCAGACTACTATCAAGGTAATTTTGAAGTTAACATGCTTTTAAAATGTCTGAAAGATGTCAAAAAGTGACTATATTGATAAAGTAATTTATTATAATTTATGAAACTTTAAAAAAAATGTATTTGTGCTCTGATTACTGGCATACAAAGACTTTTTTGTAAACATAAATGAGCTTACAATAAAAAAAAGCACTTTCCTTAATGACCATCTCATTTTTGGACAAATAGGATAGTTAAACAAACTATATTATATTGATTAATAAAAATAGACCACGTCATGGTGGTTGGTTACGCTAGGTAGGTTTATAATTTGCATGCATATAATTATGTTAGATTAAACCTTCACAATTCCCTGAAAAGCCATTATACTGCAATTATGTAATGATGGCTCGGTTGGAACTGCATTGCATTATTAATGTGATTTGTTGACTGATAGGCATAAATGTCCGTTTCAAAGGCAATGTTGCTTTATTGTCTAGCTACTTTGAAGAAGGTACTGTACAATGGTACAATGTATTTTTAGAAAACTGTTTTATAAGGTGACACAGTTTTGTTTATTTTGTTTTTATAGTTCAGTTAACTACTGTTTTATTTTCTTGGATGAGTGACTACATATTTCCAAGAAAATATTCATTCATTAGTCATGCCATACAGAATCTCTACTAAGAAGTGACATTGTTTATTGCCTTTAAATATTATGAAAAATTATAATTAGTTTGCTCAAAAGACGCTCACATTAGTCTGAGATGCGCTTGTCTGCTTCATATCATGGTGGCGACAGAAAGCTTCGCGGGCCTCACAGTGCCATAGCCCTTGGTTGACGTGCAGTGGGTATATTAGTAGTAAGGCCACATTCAGATGATGAGTGCTCAACGCGCGTTTACAATTACGTTACGTTTTATGTAGTTGTAAACGCGTACTAATTGGTTGTAACGCGCGTTAGCAAAACATTTGTTGAGCGCTCATCATCTGAACGTGACCTTACTAGGACAGATAGCCTCGTCCACACCGGGCGCATGGGCTCGCGAGACACGCTTGACATCCTGCTCACCCTGCTCTTGAGTGAGCAGGACGACAAGCTTGGCTTGCGAGTTCATGCGGCCGGTGTGGACGCAGCATAAGACGGAACAGTGCTTACATTCTCTTGCCGGCGCACCAGTGTCCAGTGCGCCGTGCGAAGCCGCCCTCGAGCGAGCAGTAGCCTGAGACGGAGCCGCGGACGAATGTCCGATATTAGGACAATAACTCGCGGCTTCATTTCAATGACCCCGGAGGACACCGTCGGGTTTTAGGCTAAGAACTCATGGCGCGATTTTCTCCCGCGCCCACAGCGGTTGCGGGCCCGCAGTTTCTGTAGAATGCAGATACTTTTGTAAAAACTAATGCACAACTCACGACGCGGTTTGCGGGTCCCGCGGCATCGGCGGGCAACTAGTAGAATCGCGCGAGCCGCGGTAACCGCAGCCGCGGCGGATATCGCCCGCGCGGTCTGCGAACAATCGGCGGGGGACCATTTTGTACCAGTGACTTGATTGGCGCGGGTGAAAATCGCGCCGTGAGTTTTTAGCCTAAGTGGGTAGGCTCCGCCCTATCGGCGACGTAAAAAAAAGTGCTTACATTGTTTCCCTCAGTCGCTGCGCTGGTCCTGCGGCGCGTGCTCGTGGTGCTCCGCGTGCGGCGCGGCGGGCGGCTGGTGCGCGCGCTGCCGGGCCTGCGCGCGGACCGCGCACCCCGCCTGCGCGCCGCCGCCCTGGCGCTGCGCCGCCTGCGCGTTGCCCGCCAACACAGCGCCCGACACGCACCATAAGAAGTGAGTGTTTGATAGACTAAAGATAGACTAAATGGCTAAGCAGATACATAATTTAAGGTCCCATTATTTGTATTGTATTGCTGTTGGTTTTCCGAATAAAATAAAATAAAATAAATAAAATAACACACTCACTGCGGGCGCCCGTCGCACAGTCGCGACAGCAATATAATTACGCGCGAGCGATAAGGATGGGTAGCTTGGGGTCATTGGACAAAATTCTACGTGCTCACGGACCAGGCTTTAGTAAGGCCGCTTCCTCACTTGGCGGTGCGGTATCGGTACAATTTCGTTTCGGTATACCGCATAGATACCGAAAGCTTACCGAGCGCCTATATTTGAATGCATGCTTCCTGATTGGTGCGCCATGTGCGGCAGCGGCGCGGCACAGACTCAATCAGGAACGCTCCATTGAAATATAGGCGCTCGGTATGCTTTCGGTACCGCGCATACAGAGATACCGATGCCGCGCCGCTACCGCACCGACAATCAGGAAATGGCCTAACTTGTATCGTGGGTAGTATATGACCTCAATTACAGGTATACACAGCATTTCTTTTTGCAATGTTAGAGTAAAGTTCATAGCAGACTTATTAACTCGGAAAATGATCAACGTTTCACCTTTCGCGAGCTGGCATCGCCTTTTGCGCGCTGTCAAAGCGAGTGGGAAAGGATAAGTGTGCGATGCTGCATGGCCTCGAGTAGATACGGTTATGGTTCGTTTTCGAGTTGATAAATGTGCGACGACTGGATTGTGGATGGCGAAGGATGGAGGCGACGTTTGAATAGCTATTACATTACATCTGTTTTATACTCTCGTGCTTTGTCGCTCAGCCACAACTTTTGGCTACGGTTGCCCAATACATGGCATATTTTACATTCATTTCACACGCATCGAGTTTCCGCTGATATCGAAAGTTGTGACCGAGCGGCTACTCATCTCTCATCTAGAGGCAATACGATTTTAATCTCACAACATTAGTGTACATCAGTCTTTCCCAAAGTGGGCGATAACGCCCCCTTGTGGGCGCTGCAGGCTTAAAGGGGGTCGGTAAGAGACCCAGAAAAAAAATCGGGACGTTGTGTAGAGGCTCGGGAGGCGTCGTCTACTAGGAGGACTCTTAGACACCGACTGAGCTCGACTCGTGATTACAAAAATGGGGGGCGCTAAAAATAATAATCTCAAAGTGGGCAGTAGACTAAATAAGTTTGGGAACCACTGGTGTACATAGTCCCATTGTTTACCCGTCGATTGTTGTGCCACTGGCGCTCTCACGTGCGTTGTCCGGGCAGGTCCGGCATGGGCGGCACGCCGCGGGGCCGCAAGCCGCGCACGCCGCGCCGCGCCGCGTCCGACGACGAGCCCTCCGACGGTAATGCCCCGCCGGGGCCGGCGCGCGCGCCCGAACAGAGAATGTCCAAGGAGAAACAAAAGTTCTTTAGGTTCTCCGCGTTCAACCTCGTCGAGCGCCGCCGCCGCGACTCCTCCAGCGAGTGGGAGCGCTGGGGCGGCGTGCGCGTCACGCGCGTGCAGCGCCTCGAGCTGCGCCTGCACGAGCGCTCGCGTTCCCCCTCCCCTTCCCCTTCCCCGTCCCCCTCCCCCTCCCCGTCCCCTTCCCCGTCCCCTTCCCCGTCCCCTTCCCCGTCCCCCTCCCCGTCCGCCACGTCGTCCGCCAGCACGTCACCGCCCGCGCTGCCCGCGCCCGACCGCTACTGCACCGTGTTCGAGCGCCTCGCCGCCGACTGCGCGCCCGACGGCGCCTGGGGCTTCGCCGCAGAGGCGCGCAAGCAGCGCCCGACCGCTACTGCACCGTGTTCGAGCGCCTCGCCGCCGAAGCCCGCCGCGCCCGGCCGGCGCCGGCGCAGCCGCTGCGGCGACCGCCTGCTCACGACGCTGTTCGACGGCCTCTCGGAGTTCTACTCGGTGCGCACGGCGTCGCGCTCGCAGTCCCGCGCGCGAGCGCCGCCGCGCGAGACCCGCGAGGAGTCCGAGGAGCGCCAGGTGCTCAAGGAGACGCGGAGCACGTTCCGGCGGTACCAGGCATCGCTGCGCCGCGACCGAAGCCGCGGCCGAAGCCGGGAGCGCAGCCGAGAGCGCAGCAGAGAGCGGAGCAGAGAGCGCAGTCGGGAGCGCAGCCGGTCGCGGCCGCCGGAGCGCGCGCGGTCCCGCAGCCGGCCGCGGCCGGCGAGGCCCGCGGCGCCAGTGAGACACATTGAGAGTTGCGAACCCGCGGAGACCGAGGAGGCCGCGGAGAGCGTAGAGGCTTCGGAGCGCGGCGCTCATAGGGACCCCTGCGTGGGCCCGCGGCTGTCGGCGTCGGCGCTGGTGCGGCGGCTGGCGGCGTGCAAGCGGGCCGGGGCGGGCGAGGACGCCAAACTGTGGCGCGGGCTGCTGGCGAGGCCGGCCACCAATCAGACGGGTAAGATCGGTTCGTGAGCGCGGTGAAAGTGTCTGGTGGATCTGACCGTCCCGCAAGCTCTGATTGATGGCCGGCGCTCCGCTGTCTCCCCTTTCGTTTCTCCTCCGAAACTCTGTTCGGGCGGTGAGTGAGCCTCGCTGGTTTGTTCAGCTTACTACGGACGCCGAGCGCCGATGACAAAACATTTGTTAATCGGGTTTCGGCAGTATCCACACATGCACTTTCGCTCGCGCTTCTCGTGTTGAGGCGTGAATGTTCATCGTCGGACTCTTCGACGGCCGGCGAGCTCGGTGCCGAAGTGGCCGTCCGTCGAAAAGTCCTCACGTACTCAGGTATTTTCGAAAGTCGTTGTTGTGGAGTGAACGAATAAATACAATTTCAAATGTGTCACAAGCCGCAAGGACCTAAATACCTGGGTACGTCTACCATCATTTTATGTTCGCTTTGCGTTAGACATTCTTTGTGTATTAACAAAAAGCATTAACATTAACATCTTGTAACAGAACAAAACCGGCAGGCACTCTATCATCCTTTTTATTTTGAACTTTCTTCTAACATTTTTATTGGTGTATGAAATATTTCTATTATGATTCTTTTCAGGATGAGATCATATTGTTTGAATTTCTGTCGACATTACCTCAGTTCCTAAAACCCTTTTCATATTTTACGCTATGTATCTAGTTTCGACAGTCAACAACATGGTCTCATTCATTAAATTCTGTCCAAAACTCCCCGTAAACCGTACTTCATAAGTTTACTTGCTCGCGCTACGCCATCGTAAACGCGAGGCGGACCGTGAAGCGAGATGGCGCCCCTTACAGAGAGCAAGCGGCTGCCGGCCGGCGTCACGGAAGCCGACGCGGAACTCTTCAACCAGGCCAAGGCGGCTGCAAGTACGGCGCCCGAGGTGGACCTACCGCCCGCCACGCCCGCCCGGCCCCCCGGGACCCCTGCCGCGCCCGCCCGGCCCCCCGGGACCCCCGCCCGGCCCCCCGGGACCCCCGGCCCGGGGACCCCCGCCGCCACGCCGGCCCCCCTCCAGGCGGCCCCCCGCTGCCCGTCCGCGATCGAGTTCGGCCAGTGGGAGATTGAGACCTGGTACTCTAGCCCCTTCCCGCAGGAGTATGCCAGGTAAGGCCGCTCGTCATTACGGTCAGAAATAATCTTACCGTAAAATTTATTGTCGATTTCTCGTCTGACACTAACTCAGGGTTAACATCATCTACGATTATCTAGGACAGTGGTTCTTAACCGGTGGTCCTCGGACCACTGATGGTCCCTGGAGGCAGTCCAAGTGGTCCACGATGTGCAATTGCACACGTTGGTCAAAACCACTTTTAACTGATTTTTGCAGTCAAACTGGTTTTGACCGATTATGAGGTGGTCCCTGACAAGACAGAAATTTGGTAAAATGGTCCCTCATGACTTAAAGGTTAAGAACCACTGATCTAGGAAATGGAACGACAGAAGTTATCATCATACATGATTCTAGGAATATCACATGCTTTGGTCATTTCATGATAGGTCGAAATCTATTACGTATCTGGTTAGTTGCTCTATACTCCTTGTTTTCTTTTACAGGTTACCAAAATTGTTCCTGTGCGAGTTCTGTCTAAAGTACGCGAAGAGTCGAGCAGTTTTAATGCGGCATCTGGACAAGTGTCTCTGGCGGCATCCACCGGCCACTGAAATCTACCGCTGTGGGGACATATCGGTGTTCGAAGTAGACGGCAACGCCAACAAAATCTACTGCCAGAACCTCTGTCTCCTCGCCAAGCTGTTCCTCGACCACAAAACGCTCTACTACGACGTCGAACCCTTCCTATTCTACGTCCTGACAAAGAACGACAGCAAAGGATGCCACCTGGTCGGATACTTTTCGAAAGAGAAACACTGCCAGCAGAAGTATAACGTGTCCTGCATCATGACGATGCCGCAGTACCAGAGACAGGGCTACGGGAGGTTTCTCATCCATTTTAGTGAGTGGTGGTGTCTTTATTTCTATTTGATAAATTGATACGCTCTTAAAAATTATATGATTAATTTTACGTGCTCATGATGGATGAAATTAATTGATGTTGCCTTTGTCCTCAGGTTATTTACTGTCAAAAGAAGAGGGACAACCCGGGACCCCAGAAAAACCTCTGTCGGACCTCGGGAGAGTCTCCTACCACGCCTATTGGAAATCTGTTATCCTCGAATTCCTGCACGATCACAAGGACAAACACTTCACGTTTGAAGATATCGCGCACACGACAGGAATGCACATGAACGACATTGCAGTCACGTTTCAGCTCTTGGGCTTTGTAAGATATATACCTAATAATGATTCTATGAAATTAGGACTTTGTATAGACTGGAATAGAGTAGATAATCATGTGAAAAGAGTGACCAGTAGACAGCGGTTGGAAATCGATCCTGAATGCTTGAGATGGACGCCGCTGTTAGCGCCGACCGTAAATCCGTTCAGATCTCCCGAGGAGGGCTCTCTTGACCAAGACACAAATGACGAAACGGAAATGAAGACGGAGAGCGAAGACACCGCAACGGAGACCGAGACTTTACCTCCCAAACCTGTGGTAAAGACTAAAGAGAAAGTTGAAAAAGAATCGACGGAAGTACCCGTGGAGGTTACCTCATCTGGCAGGAGACGAACGAGACCATTGAAATATAGCGAAGCCACGTACCAAACCACGCCCACGCCACTCGAGGGTGGTCGGAAAAGAAAACGTGATCTCAATGCTAAGCTCTCGGAATCTAACGCGGACGAGGACAAGAAAGACGAGGAAACGCCGAGAAGACAGAGAAGTAAAAGCGTTTCAAGAAGATCGTCTAGAGTCGTCCAGAATGACGCCAGCGAGGAGCCTAATGTCGCCAGGAACAGAAGACAAAGTATTAAAGAGCCTACCTACGCTTCCGACAGCCAGGAGAGTCAGGAAGATAGCTCGATTGTTGTTAAAACCCCAGTCTCGAATCCAGTTAAACCTAAGGCTAAGAGAAAAATTGCGTATAAAGGTCGTCAAAGAAAGCGACAAAAAGTTAACAAATCTCCCAAAGGCAGAACTAGCTCGCCGGTGGCGAAAAAACCGAAGTTGGCGGAGAGTAAAGCGGAAACAAACGATTACAAAACTGACGAATCTATGGAGGAACCCGAGAAAATGGCCGTTGTCGCAGACGAGGAGCGTCCAGAATCTCCGAAAGTTCAAAGCAACGAGAAGCCCGAGGAGAAAGCTAAAGATTCCGAGGCCAGCTCGGAGGACTCGTCGGGCGAAGCTGACGATGAAATGGACGTCGAGGAAGGCGAGGACAGGAGAAGCGTTCCCTGTAAGCCCGCCACGCCGCGACACGTCGAGGAGAACAGCACGGATCATCACACCAGCGATATGGAGCTCGACAGCATCCATATGGCCTCCCCCAAATCGATAGAAGATAAGGACCAAGTCATTAACGAAACCTCCACTAACGAGGAGTCTCAAAAGGATGCCCCTGAACCTGAAAACACAACTGACGACGCCGGTGTGGTGAATAATGACACCGCCGACGCGAAGTCAGCGCCAAAAGACTTAGATGAAAAGAAAGTGCCTGAAATTAGAAACGGCGACATGAAGTCGCCTACTAAGCCAGTTATTGATGATAAAGATACAATAGTTATTTCGGAATCCGATGACAATAACAGTCAGAGTTGTCCACTGCCATCGCCCAAACCGAACGTGGTGGCGCCGGTGCCGCAGAGTAATGATAATAAACCCAAAGAGATAGAAGAAAACGATAGCCCTTCTAAGGTTATACCTGTGGTGTCCACCGAGAACGCCCACATAGTTTTAGATCCTAAGGTCCAAGAGGAGGTCAACATTATTAGAAGTCCGCTAGAAAACAATACGACCCCTAAAACTCATCAAATAGAAACCATAGTTGTAGAAGGAGAGTCGGATACGACGAATTCTCCGTGTATATCGCCTAGGAAAATAGATAAATCAGTTATTAGTGAATCGCCCAAGCCGAAGAAATCTCCAGAAACAATGAATATGGACGCTTCGAGCGAGATAAAAAAGTGCGAAATGAGAAAAGAAACTGTGATTCAGCATCAAACCGTAGACGAAACTAAGACAGATAAGAAATCTCCTACTAAAATAGAATCTATCATACAGAACTTGGATCCGCAAAGGGAGCTGCCCATTAATATTAAGAAATTAGAACCGCCCAAGCTAGATTCGTTCGTAGATGCGGATATTAGGAATAAGGTTCCGAACCAAAACTCGATAACGATAAGCAAGGAGGGCGAGCTTCCCTTTCGGAACGACTTGCTGAACACGAGGAAGGACGAGATCGTCATCACGAGGAGCATAATCGAGTCGAACATGCCGTCCTTTCCGACGCCAGTGAGCAACTCGATGACCATCCAGCAGATCAACAGCGCGCAACACTCCTTCCTCAACCACCGCGCCGCCGCCAGCAAGGAGTCGCAGGCCGTGCAGACCGACAAGCCCATGCTCAAGACCAGCGAGCCTGGCCGCAGCCTTAACATGGCCGACTCCACTCCCGTGATCAGCAAGACCACCAAACTAGAAGTGCCTCACCCCATCACGTCGCCCATAATCAACCCCGTGATACCCAAAGTTCCGAACGTTACAGATATAAGTTTTTTACCGCGATGCCAGAGCGCTAACGCCGCCGTTAACTTAGGAATGGAGAGAAACGACTTAGAAAATAGTTTCGCGAGCAGTAGCGCCATACAGAATTCGTTGACGGGGTCCATGAACATCGTCCAGTCGACGTCCCAGGACAAAAACGATCCGAATTTAAAACCTCGAGAGAAGAGCAAACTCCGCGACGTTCGAGTGAACTCGGCGCACAGCAAACTCGAGAAAACGGACAAGAAACCGTCGAAGAACGACACTCCTAGAAGCACGCCGGAGCCGAAGATGTTTTTTCCGGAGCAAAGTACAAACGCAAGGAAGCCGGAGACGTCCGTTCCTATAAACGTGATCAACTCGGTGACCGTCAGCAAGACAGAGGCGAAGACGACCGCCGAGGCGCCGAAGAAGCAGGATTTTTTTAAGAAAGATAAGGCCAGCTCCGCCAAGTGTGACTCGAAAACCGCCTCGGTCAAGCACGACAAGAGCTGCACGGCGCAGCTGAATCTCAAGGCGGACCAGAACGACACCAATAAAGCCTTGCCCAAGTTCAAATACGATAATGAGCTGATACCGAAGGCGGACTACTCGATGAACCAGATCCCAAACTACCACACCACGCACGCGCAGTACCAGTGGGCGCCGTGGGACGCCGCGCGCCTGCAGGGCACGTGGGACCCCAACCGGTTCCTGGAGATGAAGAACAGCGACAAGAACTACCTCGACAAGTTTCAGGGCTTCAACCTGCCGCACCTGGATCCGGTCCAGAAGTCGCCGCAGAAGCTGCACACGAAATACGACCAGAAGGACTTCCACAACATCGCGTACGGACCACTATCCACCGTGTACTCGGGCCTACCTCATTTTAAAGAAACCAAGGGCCCGGCTAAATCCGAGTGTTCGCAGAAGAACGATTGCAAGCCTTCTAAACAATCGAAAACTACCACCGCGTGTCAAACGCAGTGCGAGCCGAAGAAGTCTCAGTCGCAGAGCTCGGCGGAGGCGCAGATCAAGCAGATGATGCAGCGGCAGGCGAAGCAGCAGGAGCAGACCAACTGCGCGGAGTACCGCCAGCAGTCTCCTCAAGTGATGACGTCGCCGGGCTGCAAAACTTACACGCAGAACGGGCCGTGCGAGAAGACTGACGTCGATAAGAAATCTCGGAAGAAGGACGACACGCCTAAAGAGAAAGAAGAGATGTGTGAAGCGGCGAGTCCGGCGCTGCAATCGATGGGGGTCTACACGCCGGATTCGACCAGCAATTCGGTTCATTCGGTGCAGTATGGAAATTGCGAGTTGGACGTGAGCCAGTTGGGGCTGGAGTCGCCGACGAGCATCGGGTCGGACCTGGCGTCGCCGTGCTCCATGATGCACATGCACCCGGCGCCCAGTCCGCAGTACCCGCACTCGTCCATCCACATCCCTTCCATCATGACGCAGCCCAACCAGCCGCCCAAGCAGCAGAAGATCAACAACCGGAATAGGTGAGTTACTGACGACATTGTTGTTTTATTATGAACCTACATAACTTTAAAATATGCTGTACTACCCGTTCACGCTAAGTTTGCCGGTCCGTGGAATGCGCGTCCCCTCCCCCAACCGCGATTAAACGCAATTAGCTAGTGATAAAACGCAATTAATGTGTGTTATTTTACGCAAATACACAATTTTTATCAATAATAAATAAAAAATATTTTATATAATATAGTTTGTTAAAGTTATAAACGCTTTTCTTCGAGTGACGTCATATCGTCAGCGGCAAACTTATCGCGAATGGATAGTAATTGCATCCAATTATTCTAAAGAAGAGTTCTTACTGCTCATATGACTGTAGCACACCATCGCCGCGAAACTATAATATGAAACGATTTCAATATACAACTCTGCAATCACACCGCCATATTAGCAACGTTGTGAAAGAAACGCGGCGAAGGTGTGCAAGAAGCGTTAAACTGTGATTTGAATCTTTAACTAAACATAATCTAAATTCATCTGAATCTGAAAGTCATAAGTACCCCAAATTGGTAAATTTGTGTGCCCAATAATCATATTTATGTGTACAATGGGGTTAAAAATTGAAATGAAATCCGATAAGCATCTGCATAAAATATAGTACAAAAGATGATAATAATGAATAGGTAGTGGAATTGTGTAAAGCAATCGTAATCATTTGACAGTTCATAACGTACGATAAAGTCAGTTAAACAAAGCGATAGACAGAAAAATCAAAATCAAAATCAAAATCAAAAATATTTATTCAGTTTCGACCACAAGTGGCACTTATGAACGTCAATAGAAAATAATAAAAAAAGAAAAAGGTAGCCCTTATGGGGCACTTTACATGTCTCCTTATCTTTTGGGCCCTACCAGCGCTTCGAGACAAACATATGGCAAGTGCTGAGAAGAAACGCCGGAACAAACTCAGTCACCACTTATTGCCAGGAATTATCTAACGGTAAGAATAGTCAAATTTAAGTACATCAAATTTGACTATTCTTACCGAATAATCGTACGTTATGAACTGTCAAATGATTACGATTGCTTTACACAATTCCACCTCTGATTTGACTTTGGAATTTAAAGCTTAGAATTCATATCTTTAAACTAAGCATATTTTGCGATATTATCTCGAAGAAAACATCAATGTTTGACTGTCACCTCCATGTCCTCAGGAACAACGCGGCAAGCAGCAACAGTGGCGGCGCTTTAGCACAGGGTGAGAACAAACTTCGCGGCGCCGCCACGCCACCCGCGCGGCACCGCGCTACGCCACCTGCTCACCAACCTCACGGTATGTAAACACTCTTCTATAGCAGGGTTTCCCAATTTTTTTTTGCCAAGGAACCCTAATTTTTTATACTTTTCCTAGCGGAACCCCCGTACTACTCCGCCCGCACGCCCTGCCCCTCCCTTGTGCGTAAACAAGTCGGTGCGAGCGAACGACGTCGGTCACGAAACGTGGGATAATATTTTTTACGGAACCCTTGCGGCCTTTCCACGGAACCCCAGGGTTCCGCGGACCACCATTCGGGAACCGCTGTTCTATAGTCTGGTCTGCGAGCACGTACAATTTTGTCCAATGACCCCCAAGCTACCCATTCTTATCGCTCGCGCGTAATTATGTTCCTGTCGCGCTCGCACACTCACTGCGGGCCCCCGTCGCACAGTCGCGACAGCAATATAATCAGGGTTTTCGCGAATGAAAGATCCGCTAGATGGCGGGACGTGGATGTGGGGTCTGACTGCTGCGTGATTGGTGGATTTTGACATATCAATGTCATGTCAAAAATAACCAATCATGCAGCATTTGGACCTCGCGTTTACGTATTGCCTTACGTATTTGATTTTTCATTCGCGAAAACCCTCATTACGCGCGAACGATAAGGATTGGTAGCTTGATGTCATTGGACAAAATTCTATGTGCGCACAGACCGGGCTTTAGTACTCCGCTCATTGATTCTATTCATAGTACTGCCACGACGTGTTCAAGCTTGTAATTAAATATTGACATAAAATTCAAAATAACGTTTGATTGAACCGAATTTTGAGTGTCGTTCCAGACAGTGCTGCAGTGGTCTGAGTGGCCTGAAACTGAAGACACTCAAAATTCGACCATTAACATTCCAATAAGGAATTGGGCATAACCAAGAAATGACGACAGTTTTGTAACGAAATGAGATCAGAACTCAGGCATTTGACCAATAAACTGTATGTCCAACTGCTACTGTAATTTACTTTTTAAAGTTGTGTTATTTTATTTGGCAGCTGCGATACAAGCGTTAGCTTAGTGCAGAAGCCGCTGAAAATGTTTTGTCAGTACTACTTAGAAATAAAGCTATTAGCTATTTATTAATAAAGAAATCAACTAAGAAGCCACGATAGCCGAACGGTGAAGGGGTCGGACTGGCCAACTCGTGATCCGGGGAACGCGGGTTCGGTCCCCGCCGCCGCTCGACTATTGTGGTGAGCTCACTCGTGACACAAGCATATTTAGCTTAGTACGAGGGGCTAACGGGAGTATTAGTAATTTAAATAAATAATAAATAATCTTTGGACAATTTCACACAGCGCTAGCTAGCCCCAAAGTAAGCAACTTAATGCTTGTGTTATGGGTGCTAGCTTAACGGATATACTACTTATATACTTTTTTTTTTTAAATACATACATATTATACATAGTAACACCCAGACCGTCACAGAAATTAAAATTCATCATTTCAATTTCTGCCCGGCCGGGAATCGAACCCGGGACCTCTCGGCATAGTGGTCCGCTCTGAACCACTACACCAAACGGCCGACAAAATTTGTGTAACAACAAATTACTAATAATCTTAAAAAAAAAAACTAACCAATTTTGCATTGTGCAGTGTAGTTTCAAGCCCAACATAAACTATCATGGGTGTTTATCGGACAAATGGTTGTGCCTTCCAGGCGGCGTGGCGATGGGCGCGGCGAGCGGCGGCGGCGGCGGCTACCAGGGCGGCTACCTGTCCTTCCAGCAGCAGCAGCAGTACCACGGCGGCGGCTGGCCCGCGCCCTCCTGCAGCCTGGCCAAGCTGCAGCAAATGGCCGAGCACCACCCGCCGCACTCGCAGCAGGTACACTTTTTTTTTTTTCGTCAGGAAATGCATGAAATTGCATACCCACTGGCCCGGGGGAACCAGTGGGTTATGTGAGGCTCTCCCTGCCAGATGGGCAGGGCCTACTCACTAAAACCTGACGGTGTCCTCCCGAAGTCTTTGGGACGGAACTGCGAGTTACTGTCCGAGCTAGACGGCCTAGACATTCTTTCGCGGCTCCGCCCCAGACTGTGGCTCGCTCGGTTTGAGCACGACTGGCTTCAGGGGAGTAGTACCTCCCCTGGTCTTCGCTAACGGTGCGCGTTAACCGACCCGCCACGGGTCCTCCTTTAGCGGCCACCAAACACCCCCGTGTCTAGTGGCCGAGGATCGCAGCAGGTACACTATTGTAACCGCACCTAGGCCATTGTTCGTTCGTTCGTTCGTTTCAGCCAAATGACGTCCACTGCTGGACAAAGGCCTCCTCCAAGGATTTCCACAATGCACGGTCCTGCGTTGCCTGCATCCAGGCTCTTCCCGCGACCTTTACCAGATCGTCGGTCCACCTATTAGGTGGCCTGCCCACGCTACGTCTTCCAGCCCGTGGTCGCCACTCGTGAACTTTTCTGCCCCTACGGCCATCGTCTCTACGAGCTATGTGCCCCGCCCACTGCCACTTGATTTTAGCAATTCTGCGAGCTATGTCGGTCACTTTGGTTATTCTGGGGATCTCCTCATTTCTGATTCGATCACGCAGGGAAACCTAGGCCATACGTCATTGCATCATCAATATTCCTCCGCCACTTGACCGCACGCGCCGCGCGCCCGAACTGACTGGCGTGAACGACGGCTGCGCGCGGTATTTACGTGCGCGGCATCCGAGTTTTACTTAACATCTACCTACATCTAGTACAACACGCTAAACTATAAATACCTGAAAGATTTTCAATTCCCGCCTTAGGCAGTTCGATTTTTTCAAGTTATTTATAATCTTCAAACCTGAAAGATTTGCAAACATTTTTACAAAAACTGTTTCATCGCTCTGGCGAAGTGTGACGCATTAAGCTCAGTAATCGTTCTCTGGAACGCTGGTAGAAGGATGCTTGTCTACCAAAGCGAGCGTTAAATGCTGCGTTAGATAGCAGAGTTGAGCGGGAAATTATGCAGAACGGAGTTGCGTACTTTTTTTCATACGCGAAGTTAGGCCGCGAACATTCGACGGGTCATTTGTTTTTCCCGCTCCTTCGCCTTTCGCTCGTCTTCCCCACTCCGTTTTCTGGGTATTTTTTTAACTAGATCCCAACTGACTTTACTAAAGCGAAGCGGAGATTTTAAGTTTGGTCAAAATTATCATGTAGGTCGACAGATATTTGATCGGTACTATAATCCAGTTCACACATTTGAAAGAACTACTGGATAAAATGACCCAACATGACTACAAAAGATTGTTTTTAAAATGGTGTTAAAACAAGTTGTACTTGTCATTCCAGTACGCGCAGCAGTCAGCCACGCCGCCGAGCGGCGCGACGTCGTCGGCGCACTACCACGCCGCCGCCAAGTACTACGCGCCGCACAACCAGCTCGACTCGCCGCGCAACACACGGAACACCTCCAGTCAGTACCATCAACTAAAGTCTGTTCGCCGAGAGTTGATAAATATTATGAAATGTCTTGCAATAGCGACTGTCGCTCTATTATCGCATTCTGTATGGCGGGCGTCGTTTGTCACAACGCGCACTGAGTACCATGGTACGAGCCACGCAGCTGCTGTCGTCAAGCGCCCCGGCCGGCGGGCCGCAATGTGTGAAACGGAATAGATTTATTTTACATAAGACCGAAATTAATGGTATGACAGTGGGTAGGGCTTTGCCCAACATTGGGATACACTATAAGCCACTTGATAATAATGAAATACTTTTTATCCAACACATGGACGCCACGTATTTGATCCGCCGTATCCCCACGTATGCCCTAACCGGAATAATTCCCGTAAATTTAAAAGAGATAATAATGATAATATAATCTACCAACTTTTTCATTATATCGACAAAAGTAATTAGCGGGCCGCAATTTATAATGAGTTTAGAACCTCTGATATTTTTTTTTTTTATCAACTCTCGGCGAACAGACTTTAGCTATCTCTTAAAGTGCTTTACTTACGGCCGAATACTGAAACACTACTCAAATCTGTCACTCAGCTGACGGGCTCCTAAATTTAAGTATCCTTCAATTTTAAATGGTATTCTCAAACGCTACTCAACGGATTTGAAGCCGTGATCAGCTAAGCAGCTCTCAAATGTTTACATAATGGCAACATTTACCAAAAAAAGTATGTTTTCATTTACACAAATGATAACTTTACGTCTTTTATCCATTACACGCAGCATCGTTTGGTTATGTATTGTCTTTTATGGAAATATACTCAATCAACTTAACATAGAACAGTTTATTTTTAGTTTCTATTATATATAAATCTCGTTTTATCATATAAAAAAATTAATGCTTGCATTTTTATTTAATTAAAAAAATAATTTTAAATGTGATACTTTTTATTGTTGAAATCTATTAAGTGGCGATCGTGGACCGAAACGTAACCACAATTGACATTTATCATTGTTGACTGACAGAGCATCAAATTGACAAATCAACAACTCTTGGAAATGCTGCTATGCGATGTCCCCTTAATCCTCAGAAATAGGCATGTTTATGTAAAGCGATTTCATAGCAGCTATTTTGGTTGTTACTTCGTGCACTATACGATGCACAGTTGGCTGTTAGATGTGGAAGATATCACCTAGTACACGTTCATAACTTCCCGTTGCGTAGAATAGTAGGGTTATAATAAGTATTTGGTCCACTGGTTGTATGGCATTTGGTGAGGGGTTTCAAAGAGAGACTGTGAATCCAGAAACAACACCGTTTCTTTAGGAACGCGGAACCTCGCTCGGAATTGCATGTCATTATAATAATATTTTTCAATAGCGTTCAGCCTTATTGCGTTCCTGCGATTAGATCTAGGTATTTCCTCGAGGCTCGAAAGAAATGATAACGATGACACACATTATTTACCACTATTTAGGTCGTTTTAGGTATAACAATAGGATTTAAGATACCGCGCAAGCACTCTCAAATTTAACAGCTGCTTAAGACGATTTGACAGTTGTTTGAGTATCTAATGCTTAGCGTTGAATGGCGTTTCAGTATGCGAAAATTCATTTAAGTGGCGTTTGAGTGCAACTTAATTTGAGAGGTGCTTAAAAATTGAGAACTGCTCAGATATTGTTTTGAGTATGCGAAATGTAAGTTTAGGAGCTGCTTAACTATTTGAGAAGCCGTCAAATATTTAAATGGCGTTTCAGTATTCGGCCGTTAGACCGCTTTCACAGGGCGTTAGAAGCGCGACAGCAGCGCAGCGGCGGCGTGTTCATAATGTGAAGGCAGGCATCCGCTGTCTTAAAGTATGAAATTATCGGCAGCGCGTTTGTCGCGCTGCTGAAGACGCGCAAATGTGAAAGCGCTCTTTATGTGTATGCCTAGCTTATGCTGTTGAATATTCCCAAGTTGTGTTACTTTTTTCTCTTGTTCTCTCTTTAATGGACAACTTTCATGCAATGTTAGCACTTTTTTGTGTTATTTTGGAAAACCAGGGTTTTATGGGCTATGTTCCCTGAGTAAGTTCCACTTATTCCCATGTTCTTTGTTCCAAAAAAGCTATTCTTTACAAACCAGTCAAAGGGTTGGAATGAACTGCTATTTTGAAGACGAAATCAGTCAGTAAATTGGTCCCACACTAAGTAGAGCTCATAAGATGACAAATAAATGTATTCATGTTTTCATAGTGGGATTCAACTCATTTACAACTGTCGTAGTCCAGTACACGAACCACCAGTTCAGTTCTTGATGACACTGAATTTCTGGAAACTGTTTCCTAACATCAATGTTTCGTTCCAGGCAACCTCAGCCCGATGCAGCACATGCAAATGGCGCCTGGCTCACGCATGTCGCCGAATCTCAACACACACATCATCAGCCAGTACGGGCTCAACGGGTACCGCGTGCCGCCGCAGCAGCAGTTCAACAACCTGCCCGTGCAGATGATGAATGTGCAGCCAGCACAGTACCCAGCGCCAGACGCGCGCGCGCAACAGCCAAATGTCTACTACGGGTATATCAACCCGCCGCCGCCGCTCGCCATGCAGCCGCTGAACTCGTCTATGCGCCGGTAGCGCGACCCCGCCGCGCCCGACGCGCCTGCGGGGCACGCGTGACGCGGCGACCCCGACCGGTCTGTTCTCAGGTCATCTGGGTGATCAAAGTGGACCCCGACCGGTCTGTTCTCAGATCACCCGGGTGATCAAAGTGGACCCCGACCGGTCTGTTCTCAGATCACCCGGGTGATCAAAGTGGACCCCGACCGGTCTGTTCTCAGATCACCCGGGTGAGAAGTGGAGTCCGAGCGACACGACCCCGATTGGTCTGTTCTCAGGTCACCCGGGTGAGAAATGGACTCCGAGCGAGACGACCCCGACCGGTCTGTTCTCAGATCACCCGGGTGAGAAGTGGAGTCTAAGCGACATGACCCCGAAAGGTCTGTTCTCAGATCACCCGGGTGAGAAGTGGAGTCCGAGCGACACGACCCCGATTGGTCTGTTCTCAGATCACCCGGGTGATCAAAGTGGACTCCGAGCGACAGTTTGGTGTCTTTCGACAACCTATGGACAAGACCTGGGTGATCAAAGTGAACTTAGAGCGACAATTTGGTGTCCATTGATCACCCATGGATAAGATGACCTGGGTGATCAAAGTGAACTCCAAGCGATAAGTTGGTGACCTTTGATCACTCATGGATAAGATGGCCTGGGTGATCAAAGTGGACTCCAGTTAAATTATTATTTTAGCTTCCTTTGATCACCTATAAATAAATCACACCTCTGATTAGTCACTCACATGTCCAATTTGTTTGTTGCGATTTTTAGAAATATGTAAGTACTACAATTGGACATGTGACTATTCAGAGGAAGTGTTTATTTGTAGGTGATCAAAGGAAACTAAAATAATTATTTAACTGGAGTCCACTTAGATTACCCAGGTTAACTTATCCATGGATGATCAAAGGACACCAAGTTATAGCATGGAGTTCACTTTGATCACCTGGGTGATCAAATCCAGGTGATCAAAGTGGAATAGACCCCCCGACCGGCTGAGGCATAGTACAAACTGAACGGTTAAGATAGTCTGTATATAGCGTAATTTAACGAACGTTAACACCACTTCGGTTGCCTTATCCCTCGGGTGAGAACACTTTTGTTGTAACGGTGTAATTGTAACGGCAGCTTTGTTATAGTTTTGTATCATATGTATGTAATTGTTTCTCTCCGAGAAAGCACCCGTACCCCATATGGAAGCTGAGTAAAGTACAAAATTGCAGTTAATGATGTATTTAAATCTTTTTACAGTAATGACGTCGTCAGCGAAAAGTAGCATAATTATATAGTGCAATAATTGTAGAACTGCGTGTTTTATATATTGGCGTAACGAAAGTATTCGGCTCACTCTGTGAGAGTACTGTGATAACTGACGGTTGGACAGTGGTCTAATGGGCGTGTGCTTAAATCATAAATTAATATATTACTTAATTTCCAAAGAGATAATGTTAAGTCTTTGGTTACGTTGAAAATAAGTGCAATGTTTTCGAATCGCAAATTGTACTTTCTGATGTAAAGATTCTTTTGAAACTCATTTTATATGTATATCCTGTTTACGTTGTGAGGTTTAGCGGGCACACGCGTCGTAGTTGTAAATGCTTGTACAGTCGGCGTTAACGTTAATTTTATACAGTAAGATCCAGATAGTGTTTTTGTCTGTTCTTGAAGTGCCTCTTTCTCGTCCCGTCTGCTTGTGTTCCAGTGTAAGATATTGTAAATGTAACGCTTCATTAACACATGAGCTCGTAAATAATTTAGCATATTTGTATGATACGGTTTAGTTCTATGGACGTTGACGTGTAGCGGCCAGCAGCGCGCCGCCTGTGGCGAGCCTAAGGAAAGTTATTTTTTATATTCCTTTACCCTGATAGGTTTTAATATTTTTTTATTATGATAACTTCTTTGTTTTACGCTTTGCTTAAGGATTATGTTCGTGTTATCCCAGTAATTTATTGCCAAATGTTATTAACACTGACTTTGCGATTATGTTAAGTATTTTAGGTTATTGTGTTGGCCCTCGTGCGAGCGCCACGCGGAGGCGCCGGCCTCGCACTCGGTGAATTATTTTGTAAGATCTGCCCCTCTAAGGTTATGATTATGAATGTTATTTGTTACTAATGTGTAGTATAAAATATTGTAAATACAATAACAGTAAGAACATGTAGCAGGTGTTATCACACAAAATATAATTTTGTGAAAAATTGGGACGTTTTATTGCTACCCCCTTCTTTGTGTGTGGGATCTGTGGGAATAATGAAAACAACATGTCTATTGTATTGAATTTATTGTTTATCTAAAATAAACAATATGTAGGTACAATTTACATAATTCTAATTCAAAATAAAATATAATGATTAGAGAGAAATAAAATAATCCCTACTATACATAATAATACATTACAGTATCATACATACATTTAGCTGCTGTACTTATCTTTTTAACACTACATTTGAATCGCGCCACTACGGCCCACTTTTAAATGGAAGTCGACAATTGATGGTCAACCAAGACACACCGAAATTAACTTAAGCACAGCAAGCCAATTGAAGCAATTTAAGACTAATATAATATAAACATCATTATCTCACTAATAGCAGCTTATAAATGAACATCTTTAATAATTATTTCCTTTTTACAATAAGTTCAAAATATTACTTGTCCTTTACATTCTGAATGACAAAATTTTCGTCAATTTTGGCTAGGCTACAACTTATTTTGTTAGTTGTTACAACTTATCTAATAATTTTTACTTGTCAATAAGGGAACAGTGGGCGTGAGCCCTTAGACAATCTTCAAATTATTTCTTTGATAAACTATCTCATAAATAAAGAAAAGTGTGGGGTGCTCAAGTTTAAAAATAGGAAGTATTCGGGCGCCCCACACTTTATATTCGGCCACCTGGCCTGATGCTTAACTATCCTATAGAATTTCCAGTTGTAATCCTAGAGGGGCAGATGTTATAGCTACCAGTATTTATATCCACAGGTATGGATGTATCTGTTCATTTAAGGCTCGCCACAGTGGTATCCTTCCGTTTGGCCAAATTACTTTTCGCCAAATTTCACTTCGCAAACAACTTATCGCCAAAGTTTCAATTCCCAAATGAACTTTTAGCAACTGTACTTTTTCGCAACTAATTCATTTGGTCAAATTATCATTTGGCAAAATTTTACTTGGCAAATGTTTATATAGCAAATGTTTTATTTTGCCAAATATTATATCCCAAATAATTTATTTGGTCAAATTGACATTTCACATACTTACCCACCGTTACCCACAAATCAAAGCAAAGCATATGCAGATAATCATGGTTTTCACAAGAATTTTATATAAAACAAAGAGATTGCAGAAAATAGTAAGGTTGCAGAAAGTAGGTATTGCAGAAAACAGTAGGTTAGGTTAGGTTAGAACAGTGACCCTTAACGCCTCTATTACGCTAGAATCACCTTATTGTTAATGAATCATTTGGAAATTTCGATAAAAAGAATGAAATATGAAAATGAATTTAGAAAAAAATTTATATTAACTACCCACTAAACAAAATAATAACCACAAGCTAATTTGTATTTCATTCTATGCACCAATCAAATTATTTTGTAAATAGTTTATCGTGAAATATTTTTGCCAAATGAAACATTTGGCAAAACATACTTTGCCAAACAATAATTTGCTAAACAATAATATGCCAAAAACGACATTTGCGAATTAAAAGTTTGCAATAAGTTGATTTGCCAAATGAGAATTTTCCAAATGAAAATTTGCGAAACGTTGTTTGCGATGTGATAATTTGGGAAACGTTTTTTGGCCAAACATTAGTAATCCCGCCACAGTACATACAAGCTTAGTTTGGGGTTTGTTTATTGTTGTATGTGGACATGTTACAATTGTTATATACTTATATTATATGCAAAAGCTCAACAGTCATGTTAAAAAAAAATAAGTTCTAGCCAAATTTACCATTATGTTAGTATTGCTACTGAAATATACATTTAGGTCAATACCTCTTAAAACAAATATGCTCAATAACAACAACATTGAATAAAATTTATACTTAGTGAATAATAAAATTCAAAGGCGGATACAATTAAAATCCCTTAGATCATGTACCAATACCAAATCTAAGGTAATTGTATAATTTAAAAATACAACGGACTAGACAGCAGACAGCTTTTTGGATGCAAACAAAGTTTATGCCCTTCTAAAATACTATTTAAATTTAACAGAAATATGTACTTAAATTACTACTAAATTTTTCATACTACAGTTGTAAAACTGGTAGAAAAGATGTGCCCATGAATTGTAACTTGTATTTTTGGCTACACTTGGATGAGAACTTGGTAAGGGACAGGCTCTGCTGGTCTCCTGTCAAGGTTGACACGGTTCCGCATGTGTTTCAGGCTGTTTTCTGTAACTTTGGTGCACCCTCTGATTAGCAGCCCTTCTAGTTTGTGGCTGTGAAGCGCTAGGGCCCTGAAAATTAAAAATAGTACATTGTAATGTTGAAAAGATTAGAAAAAAATGTTAGTATTTAGTTTTTTTAATCATGACATGATTACCGGACTCCTTTATCTGTAATGTCTGAACATCCACCTAAGTTGAGTAGCTTCAAGGATGTGCTATACTTGGACAATGCATAGAGACTTTTATCTGACACTTGTTTGTTTCCCTCCAGGCTCAGGGTCTTGAGGAATCTGAACTTCTTTAGGAATATGAGGATGCAGCTCTCGGAAATAGACACACAATAAGAAAGATCTACATTCTCCAACTTGCTCTGGTGTAAAGCCAAAGCCTCCATGGCTCCCGTTGTAAGCCAAGCACATTTAGCCAGCTTTAAAGTCCGTAAATTATTGCAATATAATATAACTGGTTGTAAACATTTGGCAGTCACGTTTTTACATTGACTCAGGTTTAAATTCTCTATGCAATGATTCTGGAGTAGCATTGGTATTAGTTCAGCATCCGTGACACTCGTGCACCGACTCAAATTCAGGTCTTTCAGTCTTGTACAAGTTGCAGTGAACACCTGCAAAATAAAAGAATTTTAACCACTTAACAGTTGAATTTCCAAGAATTTATGGTATTGGCACGCAACTCACATTGAAGGTGTGTGGTGAAAAGCCTTTATTCATGAGCTTCAGCGATTTCAGCTTGGAAAAATACATGTCTATAATCTGCATGCTAGTTTTTGAAACACAGCGAAAATTAAAACATTCTTGAATAGTGAGGTACGGTAGTATTCGTGCCACTAAAATATCTTCCCAATATAAATCATATAGTTGCGTCGTCCGCTTCATGTTCTTTTTGAATTTATGCCATTTTCTCGAAAAAAAATACGACGAACATTCTCGCTTTTGTTGACAAATCCGACATTGAGGAAAACTGTCACTGTCAGTTACGTCCACAGATATGGATTAGAGTAGATACAGCAAGTTGATCGTCAAAGCGTGCCATTCCGATATGTCCAAATGGACATACATGGTCGAGTGATGTTCATGTAATCCGATTACAACAATCGGTTACGATGATTTTACGAGGACAGTAGTACGAACACGGTAGAAATAAGGAATTATTTACGGATTGAGAATTGTAATTAACAGCACAAGTAACAAATAATTAATTAGAATAAAGTAGCAGTTGAAGAAGTATAAAGTAGCATTGTTTTTAATACATATCCTGCGATGTACTCTTAAGAGTTAAAACAAAACTACGCATTTTTACATTTATTAAAAATAAAAAGCTTGAGTAAAATAGTCTTTATTTTATGAAACTAGGTCATTTACTTACTAGGATATTTAAAAGTATGGAATTAAGTATGAATTACTGGTAGTACTATTTAACATAATGTAATAACGATCATTACTTTCATAAACATTAGGCACAACAAAAATATTATTTGCAAATTAATAATGTAGAATTGTAGAATAACGTCTACCGCTACAAAATTATTTTAATCCACAGTCAGACTAGCTATAAATTTTACAAAATATCAGTTTTATCGGAATTAATTAATTTTTGAATCGAGTCACACGATATCATTCGATGACTTTGCGAATGCAGTACGATGATACGATTACTTTTACGTTGCGGCAATCACTAAAATTCGCTAAAATGACACTAATGACGTTTAAAAAGTGGCACGCTCGGCTTCATACAATTTTTGACACATGCTGCATCTATCCGAATAGGATTTAAGATACCGCGCAAGCACTCTCAAATTTAACAGCTGCTTATGACGATTTGACAGTTGTTTGAGTAATGCTTAGCGTTGAATGGCGTTTCAGTATGCGAAAATTCATTTAAGTGGAGTTTGAGTGCAACTTAATTTGAGAGGTGCTTAAAAATTGAGAACTGCTCAGATATTGTTTTGAGTATGCGAAATGTAAGTTTAGGAGCTGCTTAACTATTTGAGAAGCCGTCAAATATTTAAATGGCGTTTCAGTATTCGGCCGTAAGTTTCAAATATTAATTATTTATTTATTTAACTTCTTATTTGGTTAGTGAATTGGCTATTTCGAAGAATTTACAAGGAGATTTAAATAAGAAGATAGCAATACTACAGTTCACACTAAAAAGAGAGGTAGGGCCACAGAGAGCGAGATAGATATAAGTAGGTATTTGACTCAAGTTTTGTTCCCAACTTTGCCCTCCATTTTTATCTGTAGCTTCATGATCTATCCATATCTGTGGTTACGTCAGTTATGTCATAATTTTTATTCCTGAGATAAGCAAAGGAATAGATGCGTACAAATATCGGTACTGTAAATAACGTATCGTTATTTCTCGGCAGAGCTTCAAAAAGTAAAATGGGACATAAGTTCGTTACTTTTAAGTGTATTTTCCCCGTATTTTATTACTTATTAGGACTGGGTTAACCACTGGGGTTAACTGTAGGTAGATACCAATCTTTTTTCATTATCATTACCTATCTAAGGGGCCATCCATAAAGTACGTCACACGAATTTCATGATTTTTTTACCCCCCCTCCGTCCTTGTCACAGGTGGTCACATTTCTGAGACCCCCCCCTCCCTAGTGTGACGTCACATGTTTTGCAATTTCACATCGAAAAATTATTAAATTAACAGCAATTAGTTTTATTTCCATTTAAATTAAGTACTTTTTTTATGAAATCAACATTATTTCAAATATTTGAAACAATTGAAATGTGATGTCACGAAACTTAGGACCCCTCCCACCCCTTGTCACACCATGTCACACTTTGTCAACCCCCTCCCCCCCTCTTTACGTGTGACGTACTTTATGGATGACCCCTAATTTGGGTCAGCTAACATTGTAATTTGTTTGATTTGAGGAAAGGTTTTAGAGTACACATCTTTGGTCATGCACATATTTGTGCTGGAATCTAACTTGCGACTTCTGGTATAGTAACTAACGGTACGTGTAGGTAACTACCAGACCAGTAGATAAGAATTGCCTAAGTTAGGTAGGTACCACCTACTGCTGCTGCTGACTACATGAGTTCAAACTCGACATTGAGATTGCATTAAAGCAGGTACTACAGGTACTACAATTTACGCGAACCATAATATATCAACTGGCGAGCAATCAAAGACTTGTTGCTTGTTGTTGACTATAATGTTAGGTTTGTATGATTATCAGGTACATAAGTAACTTGTAATTTTCAAGCCACAATCACTCGTCGTCACCTGTGTTTTGCTGATCCTACATAAGATTACTTACTCTATTGGCATTGTCCAACAAGATTTTTATTTGACTAACGTTTGTCTGCACGATTTTATTAGTCACAACTCACACGTAGGTACTTATGACCTGACGCCTGACTCAGACAAAAATAATATTTTTTTTTGTTATTCGGTACCCTGAATTTACAGTATTATTTATTGATTACGCATTTAACGTAAAATTACAATATCACCTAGATCTCGAAATTCGTATTCCCATCGCGCAATTAATGAGGTTTTCATGACAAATGGTAATTCGAAAAAAGTATAAAAATAATGGGAATGACGAAGACAAAAACAGAACCAGAGCCTACCAACTTTGAAGGCTTGGTTTGCTCCTCGTGGAGCAGTAATGACAGTATGCCTCGCGCACAGTTCGTAAAACATTAATTCATTCACGAGTTCACATTATTTCCTGTATCTCGTTTAAAGTGATACAGGTGCGGATTCAGGTAAGTAAATTAATGGACATGAATAAACTTTAAATAACTTTTAAAGTCTTAACATATTATATTTTCAGGGATTTTTTCCAGTTGCAGGCTTAAATTTTTAATTAAATAATTAAAATTCATATGTATTTATTATTCCCATTGTTTCCAATAGTTGTTTCCAAAGAAAATAAATCATTTTCATGAATCATTGCGATTTGAATTTGATTATGATATGAAGGTTCTTCCCTGACAAGCAAAATCTCCCTACTTCCTTTAAAGAATGGGGTAGTGATATTTTAAAATATTTTTCCCCTAATTTGCCCACAATGGAAAGTAGTGTTAATCGTACTAACTATTCTAATTCTGTCGTATCAATAAAATGCAGTTTCAGCACGTATTCCGTCTATTTTTCCTCAAGAGACAGTATTAATAAAAAATAGAACATCGAAAAGTCAATAGACAATAAAAAAAACAAAGCGTAAAAAAAGTATACATATTTATAAAAAAGTGTACAACCTTGGTCAGATTTTGTATGCGAATTGGCATTAATTGTAGGCTAGTGTTAGGCGGTACAAATTTCATCATCATCATCGCTAGCACACCAAGCAACAAGTTAACACAATATTTTGCTTGATGTACCGGCCTTCATACAAAAATAATTCTAGTCTAGATGCGCCCCTGCTTGCTCCAAGTGTAAGTATATACTTACTGCGGTAAACAATCACAGCCTCAGTGACAGTCTTACACTGCTATAGGTCTAAACAGAACACAACTGACACAACAAACGTGAGTAAACAGTGTTTATTGACATGTAGAATGTAAGGAGAATTTTGTAAGACCATTTTTTACGCCAGGCGAATAATTTAATACATTTAAAAAAACTGTAGGTAAAGCTTTATTTTAAGGAATAATAAGGTTCATCCTATGAATTCTCTATAGTAGTTATAAAAATAAATCTTAAAAATCAAATATGGAAGAAGATCGCTTCATCATTCAGGGATAAGACCGTCCTAGTTCTAGGTAGGTCATATACAGGGTGGAAACGATAAGTGATCTCACTCGATTATTTCTAAACTATACAAGATATCTAAAAATTAGTTACTGATCCTGAAAGTGCTTCACGAGCTCTATCCAACGGTATCAATAATAGGTTACAAAATAATCTGGATCTATCCGAAAATTCAATGTTTCCAGCTTCCATACATTTAGTAAAACCACATAATAGTAAAAACTATACAAGATATCCAAAAACTGGTTACTGATCCTGAAAGTGCTTCACGAGCTCTATCCAACGGTACCAATAATAAGTTACAAAATAAACTGGATCTATCCGAAAATTCAATGTTTCCAGATTCCATACATTTAGTACTGCCACAGTCATGGCACTCATGTCTTGATAATATTATAGCAAGTAAAGCCTAAAACCAATATTTTCCATGAATAATTAAAATTAGAATGCAACTTACGAGTTCAATTTAAGTGTTTATTGTTTAATAAAAAAAAATACACTTCTTATTATTGTGTGGCCGGCATACATTTAGTATGGAGGCTGAAAACATTGAATTTTCGGACAGATCCAGTTAATTCTGTAACCTATTACTTATACCGTTGGATAGAGCTCGTGAAGCACTTTCAGGATCAGTAACTAATTTTTAGATATCTTGTATAGTTTAGAAATAATCGAGTGAGATCACTTATCGTTTCCACCCTGTATTTATTTAGTCGAAGATCTTAGCCCTTAAATCATTAATTCGTTGTTCATCCGATGAAACCGAATACGATTAAATTTTAGGTAACAACAATTCAGGTATTTTTACCTCTTTTTAAAATCACTAGATTAAGTGTAAATTAGTAGTACTACGTATAATATCTTGAAAAGCTTGTAAAATTGATTTTGAGTAATTAACTAAAAACAAGCTTATTTTTAATAACGAAAGCATTTTAATCAGAGGTGCATTATGGTCTGTTTGGTCATGAACTAATTTAATAATCTGTGGCACAGAAATAAAAAAAAACTTTCGTAATAATGGCGTGAAAGCGCGGCTCGCGCGTGAAAATAGTCAACTGTTGCCACGAATATTCATTAAAAGAAATATTAGAAGTGTCCAAAATAAAAGAAGAAGAATATAATAAGTTTGTGAGCAAAACCTGCACCTAGAATAAAATGCTGCCTTGAACTCTGCAGGTAGGTACCTAATTTTTTGCGAATGAACGATGAAGGCACAAAATATAGGGTAGTTAGTTGTTATCGA